CCGGCACAATGGTTGATTTTTGAAATGGCATAGGATCTGAGAGCCATCCACGCTGACGAGATCAGGAGATCTGTATAGAGTCAAGTATCCGGTTGCGGGTATGAAGGGGGTGAGAGAATAGGGAGCAGTGCAGGGGTAGGTGGTGAGAGAAGGGGGGCCGACTTTACTTTCACCGCCGACGGTGGCGGTGGACTCCTTATTCTCGGCGAGTTGGTGGGCGGCCCTGAGGTTAACAAACGCTCCATGTCAGTTAATTAATCATGGAGATCGCAAAAGCAAACAGTAGAGTACACACTTAGCGCAGTCCTCTTTCAAGAACATCTGAGATTCTCCCTTCTCGTTGATACACTTGACTTGGGTGTCGTCTGCTCTGCGGAAGAGTTGATCGGCATCGAGGCTGATGGCTCGTCGACTATGTTGGGTCGGAGAGTCGACGGCCTTGATGAAGATCCCGCCGTTATAATTCCAGTTGCCCATGAAGTTAACACCGAAGCAGCCCGTCGAAAAGCTGTTGACGTAGGAGTTGACCCATGAGCATCTGCTAGACAGCCAACCGCCGCCGCAAAACCCGGCGTCTAGCCCGATATAGAACTTCGCGTCGAGCGCTTTTTCGTTATTGTTGGCGACTTCTTTGCCATGTGAAACAGCAAAGACGACAGACAGGAGAGTGATCAGGGCGACTACAGAAACCATTTTGGTTAGGCAGGGATTGGTTGATAGGAGTTTTGAGGATGTAGTTTGTGCTGGTTGTTCTGGGACTTTGATGGATTCGTTGGATGAGGAGTGAGTGCTTGAGCTCCGATGCTGAAGGGCAGTCCTTTTATATCCTGAGCTGCACTGAGGGCACACCGATTCTTTGCTAGCCAGCTGTCCATTAGACTAGTGCAGCGAACACTGTGTTCGGAACCTGTCCTGTGTTATCCCCGTCACAAGATGTTCCCAAACAGCTTTTGAACTGATTGAAATGTTTATGTAGATAGCTGTCACTTCACCTTTAGTTTACGGGCGGGTTTATGAGACCCAATGTTACATAATTCTGTTGGCTTGCTCTTGACACTCACCTATCCCTTTGCACACACACAGTCGGGGAAATGAATAATGAGAATAGCTGGTTTCGTTAATCACACGCATTCAACAACTCCAGCGGAGTCGGAAGTGTCTGAGGATGAATGGCAGTGTGCAAGGAAAATTTCCAAGATCTATGCAACATAGCCTCTACTTGACATTATCAAATCTCTCAACTTCATCTTTACGTGGGTATTGGATACTATAAGTGTGCACTATTATTCAAAGAAAGGTTCACTGGCAAAAGAAATACCGACCGACGTCCAAACCCTATGCATCGCTTCCCCCGCACGTTGGCCATGTCACCATGTCACAGCTATCTTGGAGGGTTGTCCGGTGTTAGCGAAGTGTTCGCTTGACGTTTCCTGCCTTAGCTTCTCGACAATATGACTTGTTGAGGTTCTGCAATTGCCTGGAATTATCTTGTGTGGCATGGTTGGTCTAGGCAGGTCTCAGCTCACATCATGTCAATTGGGTAAAACTCTTGCATCCGCAACTTGGACCTGGATGTCTGGTTGCTTTTATCTTTTGGGTCAATTGACCAGAACACTGGGGACCACGCGACGACGCGCCTTCTTCTACCTATTTAGATGTTTACAGAGGTTGAGCTTCGGCAAGCCTTGGAGATGGTGTTGACACTATTTTCCAATGTGAATCTATTGACCTAGAAAAATATAATGTTACAAGAAAATCACAGAACAGGCTTCAGCAATCTTGATTTAATGAGAGGTGAATTCTACTCAGAGTCACACAGCCTTTGGTTTGACACTTGGGCACCCACCATGGACAACTGTGCAAGATATGGGATGAGTTACATTTACAAAACTAGTTGGTTGTTGATATGTTGGTTAATGTTGTTTTGGTTGTTGATAAATAGGTTCATCCATATCTAGGGTCTTAAAAATTCCATTTCTGAATATAAGGTGGCACTGGTATAGCCACATTTCCCAGCCTCTTGTTCTTCATCCAAGGTGGTGATGGTGTTGATGAGGATAGTGTAGTGGAGGACTTCCCATTGCAGTTTAGAGCGCTTTTTAGACCCCTCTGAGTCTTAAATTAACAACACAATCAAGATTCCAACCTGCTCACATGAAAGCTATTGGTAGAAGGTTTTTGAAAAAATATTTCTTTAGTCAAAAAAAATAGATCTAAGGGGTGTAAATCAACCTCTGGGAGGGTTGTAGATTGCAACAGGAAGACATCCAGTTTCCATATTCCTGCTTAAATTTGAAGTTGGTGTAAAAGGTTGTACAATTGGTCTGTGGAGCAAATAATTCTTCCACATTCTGATGCACCAAAAAGTAGATCCATGTGAATTTTGATGATTGTTCTATTTTTACTTGATATAACAATTCTCAGATAAATGAACTAACTTTGCTCTGAAAAAGAAACAAATCATACTATGGTCTCTGTTCTCTTTACAAGGGCAAATTTTTCTTTTCAATAAAAAATAAATCATTCAACAAATACAGGGAGATTTGTTGTGACATTAGTCAAGGTATCAACTGTGACACATGTTGCAGACTTGTAGATAGTTTAAGATCTAGATTTTCCTTCCTTGGAATGAAAATCATTATCTCTTCCAAGCTCACACTCTAACAAGATTCTCTTCAAAACAAATCTTAATTATCTAGATCCTTTGGATCCTAAACCTTTTTCCAGTATATAATTGGCCGCCTTCTTTGTGATACTCTCCTTCAAGTATGGTTGATGCAATTCCTTTTCAGAGTTGTGTTGTTGCTTTGTTGAATTGTTTATGAAGCTGCCTGATTGATCAACAGAAGAACTGAATATGCTGTTGAGTCTCACAGATTAGGCTGATAAATTTGATCTGGTTGCCGCTGAAGTTTGTATTCCTTTGGCAATTACTTCTTGTTAGAGATGGCTCCTCCGCATCTGGATATCCGCCTGGATGCGGATATCCCCTCCCTTTTTCAGTGGAGTTGGACATCCGCATCTGCTGGCAGGTATCTGGTGGCCACAGCGGGTTAACAAGCGGGTATCCATGGTGTGGAACTGCTCAGCAAGTGAGTAAAGAGCTTGGAGGGGATAAAATAGCTAATAAGACTCTGGAATAGTGGAATTAGTATCTGTGTGTGGGTGAAACTGCCCTCCTGTCTAGCTTGCGGGAAAGTTACACTAAGATAAAAAATAAGAGTGTGGCTTCTTTCTAAATTTATCTTAGTGTTGATACGACTATTATTGTTGCTTAAGAACACCTGTTTAAGAGGTAGAGAGGTTGTTGGGATTTCTGAGTAGTAAGGGTTTCTGAAGGGTATCTCTGTTAAATATGTGCTAACTTCTCTCTGGTTCTCTGGTCTAATAAGACACTCTGATTTCTCTGGGCTCTGATAAAGGTACACTTATTTCTCTGATATCTTCAAAGAGTTGAGAGTGGCTAAGTAATATTTCTGAATTACTTTTCTATGGCCAAAAATAAGGGATAAGGGATGCTCAATGGGGCTCTAATAATTCTCCGGATTTCTTAATCAAGGGGTTGATGAAAGCTAAGTAATATCTCTGATTACTATTCTGAAGCTAGCATGAGGAGGGAAGAAAACATGGGCAGAAGAGCCTCTATTTATAGACAATTTTTCTACAGTACATGAGCTTTCTGGCCTGAACACAAGTGCGTCTGAGAAGGGTATTTCTAGAGTGAATTTTACTACTCTGAGATGGGCTAATCTGATTTGAATTAATCTAAGTGCCCTTCTAATACAAGAGGTTGCAATTCTTCTATAAGATGCCTATTCTTAGATTAATTACTATGAGATGGGTATTCTAGGACTAACTAGTATAAGAGTTATTTTCTAGATCTAGTCTGTGAGATCCTTTCTGATTAGTAGCTTGATTTTCCAGTCTAAGACAGATGTAGTATCTTTTATGTGTTTTTACAGTCTATTTGTATAATTATTATTCATGAGGAGTTGAGTATGTTAGGCCTGATTTGTGATTTGTTTTAGCTATGATTTAACCCAGGCCCCGTTTGGCAGCGTCATAAATTTAGGTGTAATATTGCCTGATTAATTCAATAAAAAATAAACCAATGCAAAATATGTTTCAACATTGTTGCTCAGGCAAGTTCAATTACTGGTTTTATCAATGCTGAGAACAAACTTGATATCTAAGGCCATCTTGAGCCCCATAACATTGATATTACACTCTATATGGGTAAAAAGTGTGATATTGGTATTGTAGTGCTGAAGGTAACCCATTACCTCAAATTTTTCTGTTCTAAAATTGAAATCAGTCGTTGGCCTTGCCCCGGTCAAAATTGTATTACATATTTCTGAGTGGTTTATTTTACATTGAATTTATAAGGCAACATTACACTTGAATTTATGACGCTGCCAAACGGGGCCCCAATGATAATTATACACTTTATTCTGTAATTTACCCCTTCTCCTCTAATATTTAAATACTATTTTTGTGTTACAAAATGCTTTGAATTATGGGATATGGGTTTGATTGTTCCTACCACAGTGGATACCCACCCTTTAAATGTGGCAAGGCACGAACTCACCGGCTGGAATGATTTCCTTCCAGCATGTACCTTGTCGACCAGAAGGTTTTCCTTCCAGCTGAAGAAGTACATGTACCTTACTGGCTGGAAGGGTTTCCTTCCAGTTGACAAGGTACATGGAAGCTTCCAGCCGGCAAAGTACATGTACTTTGCCGGCTGGAAGGAAACCCTTCCAGCCAGCCACTCTCATCCCCTTGTCCTCAGGTATCCTTGGAGATACCCTGATATCCGCCAGGATTTAGGGGAAAAGCGGCCATCCGCACCCAAATCTGTATCCCCTGGTGGGTATCCTTTGGCGCTAGGGGGTATCTGCCAGCATATAATGGGTATCCACAACAGATACCCTCAGACCATCTCTACTTCTTGTGATTTGTTGAAATTTGATTACTTGATGTAGATCACACAAATTTGTCCTATCACGTTGGGGACTCCCCTGTAAGACTCACAAATTGGTTGTAAGACCTTTCTTTCTGAATGGAGAAGGGGATGGTGGAGGTGGAGGTGCAAGCTGTTCCTGTCTATACTCCTAGATAACAAGACCCACCAAGCTCAGCTTGGCAAGTGTTAATCAAGTGATTGGGTAAGTTTGGGATGGATTTGGTATGGGAGTATGTACATGCCATATGTTGGCCCAATTTCAACTTTGAGAGCCCTAAATATATATAGGGGGTCAGAAAAACGACTCCCAAAAATTGTCCGACGACTCCCATCTTGGTCAAGGGGTTGTTGGGCAGGAGTTGTTCCTCCAAATCAATGGCCGACTTTGAGAGTCAGCCATCCAATTATTTTTTAATTTTTTGATTTTTAGGAAGTCGGCGCCCCAAACCACCCCTCATGCTTGAGGGGGTTTGGGAGTCGTTCGCTCCCATGACCGGAAGGATTTCCTTCTGGTCTACGAGAAAGAAATACCTCAGCGACCGAAAGGAATCCATTCCAGCTGATGAGGATGTTATAAACCTCATTGATTGGAAGTCAATGAGGGTAACAACCTCATTGATTGGAAGTCAATGAGGGTAAAAACCTCATTGATTGGAAGTCAATGAGGGTAACAACCTCATTGATTGGAAGTCAATGAGGGTAACAACCTCATTGGTTGGAAGTCAATGAGGGTAACAACCTCATCAATTGGAAGGCATTCCTTCGAAATTGATGAGGTTTTTATAACCTCATTGATTGGAAGGAATGCCTTCTGATCAATGAGGTTGTTATACCTCATTGAACGGAAGGGATTCCTTCCGTTGATGAGGTTGTTATACCTCATTGAACGGAAGGAATCCCTTCCAGCCAATGAGGTTTTTCTTTCTTCATGGGAGCAAACTGCTCCCAAACCCCCTCCTGCATGAGGGGTGGTTTGGGGCGCCAACTCCCTAAAAATCAAAAAAAATTAAAAAAAAATTGGATGGCCAACTCCCAAAGTCGGCCATTGATTTGGAGGAAAGACTCCCACCCAACGACCCCTTGACCAAAATGGGAGTCGTCGGACAATTTTTGGGATTTGTTTTTCCAACCCCCTATATATAAGTGAAAGAGAAATATGTGTAGATGTAACTCGTGAAGGATCATGAAAAATCTAGTGATGTGCTGTAATTAGGGTGTCTGTGTAGGTTGAGGCTTGTAGTTTGTGATAGTTGACATGTAATTTGATGGGTGAAATCCTTGTGATATGTTGTCTGTTGTGTGGTAATTGTTAATCCAAGTGTGTTTCAGTGATACCTCCATGGTGACCAAGGGTAATTTAATCTGTGGAGTCCAGTTCTTGAGGAGTATAGTGTGATTTCTGAGAGAGAGTGAGTGATAATATGAAGAAAATATGGGTATAATAAAAGAGAAAAAAACTTTGAATTTTTCACATTTGGTCTACCACACCGGATCCAAAACGCCACCTCTGACATTAATGCAGCCAAAATAGCACCAGCCAATCAGTACATCTGTGATTGACTGTTGTGTGGTTTTGACAACTTGTGAACATTTAAATAGTCTAACGCCCTAAGGAGGTCAGCTTGGACAAGGCTATTGGTGTGCAAACTCTCTGCCACTCTGCCAACCAATTAATTTGGACTTGACATTGATACTTCTGCTTCTGCTGTCAAGGTCAAACACATGGGTTTACACAACTGTGGAAAGCAAGACCACCACATTTCCCACTGTTGTCTGAACCTTCAGCAGAAGAACAAAGAATTGGCTCAGGCTGACACTGGCACCAAAACTACAGTGCCTCTCAGATGTTGTGGTACAAAATACAAAGACACCGGTGACAATAGTTTTGAAGACAAAATTGAAATCACATTGTTTTAGTGGGTCCAATAGATGGTCACCTCTTAAATGTGTAAAAATTACAACTCTGGTGTGAGTCAGAGGCCGATTCCTACTATCTGAATATTTTGAGTACATTTGTTGTTGCAAAATTTCCCTTCTACTTTTGCACAGCAGATCTCTGGCCTGATTAAAATTAAGTTTCTTTCCCCTGTCTGAGAATTGTTTTATCCTACTAGGCAAATAATGTTGAAATCTGAGCCCACAATGAAGTTGAATGAAGAGATGGGGCAGAAAATTTTTGATTGTTACTGCAAAGGCTCAGGGCAAAAAAAGAAGGTGGAGAACCAATAGTTTTTAATTTCTTGTACTAGGCTAGATTAAATAGACTAGATACAAGAGTTTAAGCTGTGTTTGTGGAGAAAATGAATAAGAAGGAAATGAATAGAAAAAAATGGAATAATCCAGAATGAAGAAGAGGGTACAACAACCAACACCAGAAATGAAGCATCTACAACCTAGTAGATAAGTAGACACACTTGAGAGAAATTAGGCCCTCCTTAGTCAGGGTTCTAAGACTACAAGCTAGAGGGTTTTAATCCATAAAAGGGTGATAAGTCAGACTAAAGAGGAGGAGATATCATATTGGCTATGGAGTAGATCCTTTGATCATTCAAGAAAATGAGGAGGCAGAAGTAAGAATGAAAAAGGAAAAGAGGCTATAACAGCAAGAAGAGGCCAAAATTCCAACAAATAAGTAGACCATTTTTCACAAGACTAGTTTTCAGCAAGGGTGAGTGTTGAGATTCTTATATTGAGTGTATGATTCTACCTGGTTGTATATAGCTCAGTAGTTCTCACATTGCAGTTTTTCCTCCTCACCAAATCAAACCCACATTTTTTGCTGTGATTGCTGCTTTGTCACAAGTTCTGTGAAACTTCATTGCCTTAGCCTGTGTCCCTTGCAACAGGACAAGGGAATGGTCAGAGCACATAGTTTGGTGAAGCACAGTAATCATCCAGTAAGCTCATAATCAGCCGGTAAACAACAATCAGTGCAGAAGTATGTGACAAGCAGGCTGAGTGGTGGGTGAATATAATACATAGAGGCATAGAATGCCTACAGGGATACAATGTTGACAGCTAGAGTATCACAAAAATCCAGCTATTCATTACTGCAGAACTTCTGTGCTATTCCATTTACATAATTAATAGAGATAATCCTCAACAGATTTTGATCTTATGGAAATAAATTTGTCATGTGTTCACTACACTTTCCTTTGTGGGTGGATTTATGAGCCTTAGTGTTATTGCATCCTATTGACTGGCCATTGAACCTCAACCAACCTCTGCATGCACACAGGCAGGAAAATTACAAGATGGATAATATATTCCATCCATCACCCACACACTCAACAATTCAAGTGGATTTTGAAGTGTCTAAGGATGAATTGGAGCACACCAGGAAAATTTTGAAGATGAAACATAGTCCACATTTCATTATCAAATTTATTGTCTTCATCTTCATTGCATGGATTCTGGTGCTTGCACTTTCACGCAATAGTGTGTACTGTTCCATTTATATAAGCAAAGATTTATGGTGATAAGAGAAGGTATACTGAAACAAGAGATGTGCTACTCAATGTCCTGGGTCCCAAACTGAGGCATCATTCCCCACAGTCATAGGCCATCACAGTCTGGAGGGTTGTCCACTGCCAGTGAATTCCTTGCTGGGTGTCTCCTGGTTTCACACAACTATACATAATCTTGACTGAGTGCCTTTCTATGATTGCTTTGGAATCATGAATGATTCACAGTGTGAGGTTGAAATGTTACACAGGCTTCATTTGGGGGGGAGCATGTAAGCGCCATGATCCAAGAGGCCTATCTGGGAACAGATACACAACAGTATGGAAATACTTTGACAGAATCAAGAGTTAAGACTCCAAGGTGAGGGGCCCGACTCTGATGAAGATGTGTGCAACTGTTTACTCGTCTACATCAAGCAATGTACAACAGATCAAAAATGAGACACAAACAACAGTTTTAGACACACAATAAATACACATACAATAATTTAAACATATTCAAGATTCAGATCAGCGTTACTTTGAGGGTTAACAAATCACGGCTAGCGCCAACCACATCGAAAAAAAGACCAGACGCGAAAAAAAAAGAAACAAGACAGTAAGCAGAAAAAAAATCCTAACAGCGCCTGGCTTGAGGTGTAACGTGGTGATTGAGATGGAAGCTGATGATGAAAACGAAGGTCGTCTTGATTGAGGTAGGTTGGCAATCTTTGTTGGGTGGTATATATGCAAGGTTTGAATGTGGGAAGGCCGGGAGTTTTTGCAGTAAAGACGGTTTTGACGATGAATTCGAGCCTACGACTATGTTTGAACTCCTTGGTCGCATTCATGAAATGGTGATGTATAAACATTAACGGTTGTTGAAGTTGGCAGACGGCTTGAGGATTGTCTTCACTTTATCCCCAGCTTTGCATTTAAACTTTTCGTAACAAATGCAGCAGCTTCTGTTGCTTTTGAGCCGTATGTCAAATGGCTCATGATGCTTCCGGTGCTCTGACAGATCATGTCGCCGGTGGTGCAACAGTCGTATATTCGGTCGGTGATATCTGCTGGAAGTGTTGGTCTCATCATCCCTGCAATTCCGGAGCCAGATTTCTGCAGCACGAATGAAGAAAATCAGTTTGTTGTATGTAAGATCATCTGACGAGTAAATCGAAAAACTAATGAATTCCAGCTTACCGCGCTACATTTGTTTTGAGGGGCGCCACCTTTAAAATAAGGATTTCCAAAGAAGACGACAGCGCCAACGTTGGCTGATGGTACTTTCTTGCTGCTGAGAACTTGTGTTTGGACCATGCACTGTTTTTGGAGATTGATTCGAAGAAGAGTTCAAGTATTAGCATATCTGGATCAGGCGCTGCAAGGAACTTGATATTTTGACGCACCCCTTTGGAATATCCCAAGAGAACATAAAGCGTTTTCGGGCACTTGGCTAGCTCTGTTGTTATCATTTTCATTTCGGTCTGGGCTCCTTGCGTTACGGTCACCGAATAATCGGCAGAGGTTGAGTATTGGAGCTCCTCTTTTGCCCCTCCAGGAACCGCGGCCAAAATCTTTTGTACCAGCTGATTGTACGCCATGGAACCGCTGGCGCCTTCCGTAGTACCTCGCGCGCTGGTGCCACCAAGAGGTCAAAGTTTCAGTTGAAGGTAAAAGCAGATAAAGTTCTTTTGGGGCAGGGGGGGGGGGGGGGGAGGAAAAAATTACTGACCCAATGATCCGATAAGCCTTGCATCCGGCTGGAGTTACTACAGGGGTGGCCGGCGCCTTTTCCTTGTCGCCGGAGGATTCGGATTGTGTGGTGCTAACGGAGTCGGAAGCTGGAGTAGATGAAGAATCATCGCCGCCGCCGCCGCCCATCCCGCCCATCAAACTACTGAGTCCACCCGAGCCTCCACCCATCCCGCCCATCAGGCTGCTGAGTCCGCCCGACCCACCGCCCATCCCGCCCATCATACTACTGAGTCCACCCGACCCACCGCCCATCCCGCCCATCAGACTACTTAGTCCTCCTGACCCACCGCCCATTCCACCCATCAGACTACTCAAGCCTCCCATACCACCGCTCGAGCCGGATCCACCGCCGAACATACTTGCGAAACCACCACCGCCACCCGAATCGCTGTCCGAGTCACCACCCGAAGCATCGCTCTTCCCACCTAGCCCACCACTCAACCCAGCTAGTCCACCTAGCCCACCTCCTGAGCCACCATCGGATCCTCCTCCCATAGAAGGCATTTTGAAGCCGCCGCCACCGCCACCTTTTAATTTAGAAAAATCGAATCGACGTCGGATTGTCTTGATGCCTTCCGCGCGAATCGTTTGGTCTTGTAGATTGAGAAATAAGAAAAGTAAAACGGTTGCGTAATGTGAAGGAAACATTTGAGGTTGATTTTTGTGAGTTTTAAATTTTAAGAGGTCGATATATTCACATCTAACTTTGAGAGAAATTCCATGCGTGGATTGAGGAGATAAACCACTGGTCAGGAGGAAAGGGAAAGCTCTGGCGTGTGAGCTTCTCTTAAAGGGAGGAGTTTTTTTTCCTGCTAGTACTCTGCTTGATGACATACTCCATGGGGGTAAGGGAGAATGCATGTCGAGCAGGGTTTTTCTGATTGATGTCGTACATTGTAAGGGTCGATTTTGTAACTGCATACAAGCCGAGTTGCGATAATGATGCCTTGATGTTGGGAGGGGTCGGCATGGAAACGTTATGAGAGAAGCAAGGAAGTCTGCCAAATGAGTGGATACACTTCTCGAACAGAGGAAACACAAGGCGAATGCGCTTTTGTTTACCGGGCAATGATGACGCTCTCATTTCAACACGTCATGAGTCTATCAGGGCTGGAGGGTAAGCAAATGACTACATATGTGAGCGATCAGTACGGGCCCCAGGGTAGAGAAAGCACTTGTGCGTTGTATCCAAGATGGCACAGTCCCCTCAGCGTCTGAAGCAAGCGATACATTGTTCCCCGGGGTCTTTGGAAGAAAACGTTACCATATCCATGAGTCAAACCTTTTCCCCATCAGTCAATAACGGGCGGACCGAATGACTTGTGACAATTCCTCTTGAGACGTTGCATCTGTAGTGAGCTTGGCTCAAGACTGACGATGAAGCGCTGAGTGAAAAATTCGAACTCAGGATATGGCAACATGAGATCCAATGATCGCAGTGACCTGTGTCTATTCTCAAATTCTCGGCCGGAGGAATTTGTGATATCGCAGTCGTACCTATCATCTAGTTTGCTATGTCATAGTCCCAAGTTCTGGCTCAAGAGGCTGGCACATTGTGTAACCGTGGCAGACAGACAGCGAAGGATTCATGAGTCATAAGTAGAAGAATTAAATTTTCGTCTCAACAAACATAATAACTAATGATATATCCGGGTTGATTGGGTGAAGGGGAGCAATATTGGGAAATAATAGAATAAGAATGATCTAAGATTTTTCGTGAGTGACAGCCAATTTAGCCTTCAACTTTTGAATCACGAATTCGGATGTCAGGCTTCCGAATTTGTCTCCATACTCCAGATGAGTGACCATGCTTCCTACGGTCTGACAGATCATATCTCCGGTGGCGCAACAGTCACAGACTAGATCGACCAGCGACTCTGGTAGTTTGGGACTGATTGCTACTGCAACACCGGCCCCAGATTTCTACAATCGATCCAAATCCCATGGAAATCGTCAGCAGGAAGAACAAAAAAAAAAAACAAAAAAAAAAAAAAACATGGCGCAAGGGGGTGAAAAAAAAGAAGAGAAATCATGGACCATAAACTCACCGCGTCGCATTTGTTTTGAGGCAGACCAGCTCTGAAGTATGGGTTCCCAAACATAACCACAGCTGCAATATTGGCCACTGGGATTTTGAGGCTAGTCAGGATTTGTGTTTGAACCATAGCCTATGGATGGATGCGCGCGCAGGAACAAAATCATTATCAGCCTCAAACAAAACAAAACAAAATATCTGAAGGGATTTTGAAGTTTTGACTTACTCCTCTCGAATAGCCGACTAAAACATAGAGTGTTTTGGGACACTTGGCGAGTTGAGCGTTGATCATCTTGATAGCGGCCTCAGCTTCCATTGCGACACCGACGGTGTAGTCGCCGGCCGAGGAGGATTGTAGCTCTTCTTTCATTCCGCCCGGGATCGCCTCCAAGACCTTCTGTTCCAGCCCGTTGTATGCAATCGAACCAGACATTTCCGAGGTTCCTCGAGCCCTAAAAAAACAATCAGCCAAGTCAGGACATTGTAAATTATACAGAGTGGTCAGGACTATCTGGCGCAGGGAAAAATGAACTTACCCAAGGAGATGGTAAGCTTTGCAGCCAGCCGAACTGTCCCCCGTTTCAGCATTCGTCTTTTCTCCGCCTGGAGCCGAGGGAAGGTCTTTGAAGTTGTTGCCAAAGGAAGCGGGTGAGCCGCTCGAGCCAAAGCCGCCTCCCGGACCTGCCAGATTGGCCAGGTTCATGCCGCCGAACTGGGATAGATCGAACTGTCGACGCACATGGACATGCTCATCCGCACCGATCAATCTCTCGTTTGAAAGAGCTACAAGTAAGAAGGATAGGCTCTTGAGTCGTAAGAAGTTCATCTTGGCAAAATTGGATTGGTTCCTATCGCAGGTTTTTGAAGAAGAAAATTAAAAAAAAAAAAAAAAAGATGACCGGTAGGATATTTTGGCTGAGGATTCCGCAGGGGAGAGCTGGGGAAGATAGTATTTATAAATGAGTGCTGTCAAGAGAAGCATTTTAAACACCGGCTTCTCCTACGGACATTCCGCTCGTCATGATTTGAAGGCAGAGAGATATATTATCTACGTAACTCAAATGAATGATGGGGCTTCTGGGCTGAGGCTACAAGCCGGGATTCTGGAATAGGCAGAAGACATTGCCAATGTGTTGTGTGTAGTCTGGTCCCACCTACCCATGGCTATAGCCACCTGTTCTATGTATAGATCATCCCCCCCCCCCTCTTTTGTCGCTGGTCCGATTTGTATATAGAGGAAACATGTGACCTGGAAACCTCTTTTAATTTGGATCTAGGGGCGTTTCAACTGAGAATAAATGATTGGATTGTGAGCTGAGTATGTAGACATATTATTTATGTAGAAAACGCCATCAAGTTCGGCTCCGAAAATGTAGGCTTTTGAGGCCCTTTGACAACTGCTTGGAATTGCACAATTTGCTCCCAAGATCAACCTATGTCTAGCTTAACACAATCCCCTCGTTCCAGAGGGACGGGGGAACCCCGGCGTGCCGGGGGCACCTCGCGAAGCGAGCCTCTGAAAGAGGGGCTTGCAACTGAAGCAATTGATTAGGGGTGAGCGATTACTGTATTTCACGCTTTTTATTAGTATTTTGTCTTCCTTAATTCATTGCGCGCCGGTCTGCGATCCCCTTGACATGCGACTAAGTGGCCCCGATGCCCAGCCTTCTTGGCTTCATCCAGGTGTTTTTTAATGAGCCCTTCTCATCTATTGGTCTTCTGCCTTTGAGGTTGAAAGCTGGAGTTGTGTGTCGAGCGCGAAATTGTGTAAAGGCATAGAAAGCTGTATTCTACAACGTACAGGAAATTTGGAAGTTCGTTGTTGAGATGTACATTCCGTACAGGAGCAAATAATATGTGTGCATTCATCTGTAAGGACTCCGTCGAGTCCTTCACTGTCCGTCGGGAGAGGCACTAGAAGAGGGGCTCAATAGCTCCTAAGAGAAGGTTTCTAGTACAGAGAAAAGATCTCTCATCAGTATATACAAATGAGAGAGAGTGAGAAAAGGAAATGAGAAAAGAACAGAAGGAAATAGAGTACTTACCTAGACAGGAGAGAAAAGATCTCTGCTGTCTAGGTAAAGAGGAATGGTGAGACTAAATACTAGAAACCGAGCTTATGTAATCTGATGACATGTTTGTGTAAGCCTGTGAGGAGCAGGGCTTACATCATCATGTGTTAATGTCTTATAACTCGTTATGTGGGTTAGTCCTTTAATAAACGGGCCAGCTTAACAAGGTGCACACTGAGCATCTCCTTCAACCTCGTCGACTTACACACCGCAAGATAGATTTATGGCATCAACCCCACGTGTTGCGCACCCATTGCCGAGAAGGGTCTGGTCTCAAACCGGTGTCAACGTCTACAAGAAAGTATTCGAGAAGAGTAATGACAAACTCCGCGAGCATATATCTAAAACTTCTGTCGACTTTTACGGCCAATTTGCAAAACAGCTACAAGTTGAAGCCGTTCTGAACTTGGTCGAAGGCCGTAATACTTTCCTGTTGGCTGGAACCGGCTTTGGGAAGTCTCGGATCCCCGAGCTTTACTACAAGATGATACCAGGGAATAGCAAAGCGGTCGTGCTGGTTTTAAACCCATTGGATTCTCTAGGCAACAACCAAGTTCTCGAGAAAGAGCAAGCCGGCTTCACTGCTATCAATCTCACCAAGCTCACTTTCAACGCCGATACCGCCGAGGAAGTCCGAAAAGGAGAATATCAATTTGTTTACCTAAGCCCGGAAATCTTCCTCAATAACAAGATGTTTGAAAAGTTATATTTCAGCTCGGAGTTTCAGAATCGCCTATCCTTAGTCGTAGTGGACGAGGCTCATATGATCTACATATGGGGCCTTGTTGAAAGCTCAACAGCCAAGCACCTCACATCTGCACACTTTCGACATGAAGACTCGGGGATATTCCGACCATCCTATGGCAAGCTAGGTGCCCAGCTGCTTTTTCGAAACGACAAACCGATATTGTTGTTGTCAGCAACTTGTCGTCCAGTAGCGGTTGAGGCCATCAAGAAGAGCCTGAAACTCAATAATGATAGTGTGGCCATGTTACATGGTGAACTCACCCGACCGGAGATTCGCATGATCCGGGTTCCCATGGAAAGGTCGCTCGCTTCGTCTCTGGATGTCATCAAACTATTCCCTTCGCACGAGGATGTAACCGATGCGGACCTGGTGCCCAGTTTGGTCTACAGTGGATCGCGGAACCGAACCCTATCTGTGTTGGAAGTTATTGACCGAGCACGAGGTACACCTGGGAGCGCTTTCATCCCAAACAGTGCATGCGCACGTCGGTTCCATTCTTGCACGGGCGATGAAGACAAAATCTCAACGGTTGAGGATTTCGCAAACGGGACTTACCCAATCATATCTTGTACAATGGCCCTCGGCCTGGGGCAAAATTGGAAACGGGTGCGGATGGTTGCACACATGGGCCGGGGGGATCCCGCCTCAATCTGCCAGATGATTGGCCGATGCGGGAGGGACAGCAAATCCGGTCTGGCAATAATGTTTGTGGAAAAGAATCGGCGCAGGGGGAAGAACCGTCTAGATCAGTTTGTCAGAGATGCAGATCAAAATGACTTAGATCGCATGGACGCCATGGCAATTACTCCGATGTGCCTCTGTGTTGCGTTTGCTATGGATAACAAGTCTGTGGTTTTCTTTTGGTGCTCTGCTGTGGCGTTTATGTTTGTCATGCGGCTGACACGTGTGTGGCCTCTGCAGATACGGCTATGTTCCGCTCTGGGCTGACGATCCGAATTACATTGATGAAGTCGCTCGGGAGATAACAGAAAAAATGCCTGTCTGTCAATGTTCCAACTGTGCCCCTGAAGAATCAAGAGTCTTAATGGACAACCTTGTCTGGGCAAACAAATCCAACTTTGACCTCATTTTGGATGGGAAATTTACACCTTCAAAACCATCCGATCTCAAGTGCAAATATCCTCAAAAGACCTGTTCAATCAAGAAACGTAAATTCACCGAATACGATGAGGTTGAGGTATCAGCTTTCACATCTCGACTGCTGGCCGACTTATATGGGCATTACGACTCGGTAGTGTCACCCGGGGGAATTGTACCGGCATCCTACATGTTTGATGACGATGACGGCAAGGCAGTACTTGCGTCTTTGGATTATATCTACACGGCCGCCGATCTCCGGGGGGTCATTGGAGGAGATTGTTTTGTGGGGCAGAGTACCTGGATCTTTGATTGGATCATCAGGTTCAGATCAATAGCCACCAGGCCGAGCGACTCAACGACCACAATGCCCCCGTGCCCGAAGGCTCGGAAAACGACTACTGTGACCACGGTGAAACCTCGCGGGGCCATTGGTATGGGGTCTGCGCCCCGGCCCCCAACAAAGAAGGCAATTGCAGCAGAAGCAGCTCGGAAGCGGTCGGTTGAGAGGAAAGAGGCAAAGGCAATCAAGGATCTTGCGGACATGAAGAGAAGGAAACAAGTGGCCGAGATCATGTTGGAGACACGGAACGCCCAACAAGCCCAAGGTATGTTCTATTTACAAACTATGTAAAATGATTATAGGTAAAAGATCATCTAAAAATTAATCTGTTACATATCTTCGGAACCAGACTCCCCTTCTTCAGAGACCTCCCCCATGATAGTCGGGTTGTCAGAACTTGCGGCTTTGTGATGCTGCATGTATATGTGCTTCTTTATTTGTTTTAGATCGCCATCGTTACAAATGAGCTTTTTCATTTTCTTAAGACCCAGATGGAATGTATTCACGACTGCATCTACGTCAGCGGTGGACTGGGCAGTATATTGTGCAAGAATGTCTCGGTTTTTTGCCAAGATGGTGAAAATCTCCAGCGATCGGGGAGGCAGATGATTGCTGTGTGACTGGTGGATGATTTTGCCCCCACAATCTTTCTTGAGTGACTGGAACATGCGCTGCAACTGTGTTTTTTGGTGGAGTAAGTGCGATATCAGTCAGCATGAGCATGAACTGTGACAATGGCGTAGAATAGTTAGACAAGGCATACTTACCAGGAAGATGTTGACTGAAAAGATGTTGCGGAGTTGGTCAATCTGAGTGCCCGCCCCATTGTTGTTAAACAGAAACTTGATCCAGTAGTTTTGGATCTCCAGCCAGAAATCCTTTCCTACAAAATGATCCTCACGACCCGTTGGTGAGATGAGGAGGTTGTGTCGGAGATACGTTCTTAACGATGGAGGTAGGATGACCGTGAGCATAAGCACCATTTGTGGAAGATAGGATGAGTAATGAGTAATTCCTTTCATCGACTGGGTCATGATTGACCACTTCTTCCAGATTAACATCAGCCGACCAACATCCCCGGCCTTCATGGACCGCTTGGCCTCGACAACTGTAGAAAAGTCATGCAGCTGAAGCAAGGTATTGCTGAACTTTGGACATGCACCCGGTTGTGCTGCTGCCAACCGCGCTTGAGGAGAGAAATACCGGTCATAACAATCGTCAACTATTTGGTTCCAGCGATCCGTGGGAATAGTTGGTTTGATGTGGTTGGTTTTGTCGGTACTAGTCTTCATGATCACCCTAGATAGAATATTAGATGAGGGACATGTGAGCTCACAATCAGCTTAAAAAGATTGAGCTGAGGAGATCAGCTTGCCTTAAGCAGTAATATACAATCGCCTCAAAAACTCTTTCCATTTGATTAATCATGATTGTAAAATCTTTCTTCTGAATCGCCTTCTCGGAAGGAAACCCCAGTGCCTCCAAGTGCTGCCACGCCCCACAGTTATTTTGATCGCTCGGATTCCCAAAGTGATGGGTGAATATGTTGGAGCCGATGTTCCACAGGGTATGGGAAGCCCCAAGCTGGAAGAACACATTGTCCAGACGGTTTCGCGGTACTGAACTCGGTAATCTCTGTGATCGCAAGCAGTTGAAATTTTGCACTGTGCCCAGATCCCCATCCATGGGCTGTAGTCGCTCAAAGAAATCCTCGACTGAGAGGCCGGTTTGACTGATGATGGACTGGAAAACCTGGCCAATTCCCTCTGCTGAGTTGTCGGATGCGTCCATGAGTTTCAACATGAGGAGCTCTGGGGCTCTAGCACTGATTGGTTCCACAGGTGCCGGCCTCGTTGGGAATGATCGAGATTTATCACTTGGTGTAGCAAGGTAATCGGACAGTACCTTCGCAATCTGACTTTTAACTACAGATACCTCGTAACGCTCCTCAGATGGCGTAGGAAGGAACATATGCGGTTGGATCTCCAACTTTTGGACTGAGTGCATGGCGTCATGGAAAGATTTCAAATCCAGTTCAGCCAGGTTCAACTTAGCAAGCAACTCCTTGCTTGGCACATGGATGTACCCCCAGGTGCCCCGCCAAGTGTGTGATCGATTACCAACCGACTGCTGATGAACGCGTTGCTCAATGTCAATGTTATTAATGCAGATTGTGGGGGCCAAAGGGACAGATTTAACTATCCTCATGGCGGAGCGAATGGCCCTTTCACCTTGACTTGACAAAGTCTTCAACGCAGCTAGCGCCGTGCTCCTGGACGATGTCAAGCCAATATAGTTGAGGTACTCATGCACCCGTTCAGACACACCACACGCAAAGAATCGGACTGAGTTGTTCAGCTGAAGTGCGTTGTGACGTCGATTTTGCGTGAAGGCTATCATAGCACATATAGTTGTCGCAACCTAAAGCAAGCGAGCATCGTCAGGAAGAATGCATAAAATGGAGGCAGCCAGATGAAAGACATACTCTGTGGGCCCGGTGATGGGCTCGGTCATGACCATGCACCAATGAGGTGTAAGATACCCCTGCCTGCTCCTCAGGGGAAACCAAGATGTTGGCTGCTTCTGGTGCAGCTGCCGCTCCGACAAGCTCCTCATCTTGCTGAGCGGCATCTGCAGGGGTAGGTGCATTCAAGGTTCCAATCAAAAGATCAAACACAAATGGCATGTCATGCCGGGTGAGAGTTTGATCATGACCAGCCAGGGCCTCTGCAGTGAAAAAGGACTGTTGCACGGTTGTTGAGCTGTGGAAACGGCCTGAAGGGTAGTTCCCAGTCGGAGGAAGCTGAGTGCTGGAGATATTGATTGCCTGAAGAGCAAGACCACAGATCACAAGTAAATCAATTTATCATATAAATAAGTCGGCACATCAGACATCTTACCTCTTGAAGGATGAAGTGGTACCAAGCCTCCCGCCCAACATCTGTGCGATTGATCTCATTACGCAAAGCTCCCATGAGAGCCATTGTTGAATCGATACCACTGGAAGCCCAAAATTGTCGCAGGTAAGCTATGTCAGAATTCTCACTTTCTATGAACTGGTGGATGAACTGTTTAGGAGTCATAACCGCTGGAGGAGTGCGCAACTCCTTGCAAAGGTTTAGAATCTTCTGGTCCATTTCACTTTGAGAGGTTATTGGTTAAAGGTGAGAGGAAGCTAGACTAAAATTATGATAATCGGGAGGGATTGATTTGTAACTGTGCACTGGGTCTGGGTTAACAATGTTCTACCGGAAGTATGAGCAGGTCGATGCAAGTAACTGATAGGAGCGTCTGGGGCCCAAAAAACCGAGAAGAGATGTGACCCTTTATACTATCCAAGGACAAGGTCTGTGACCGCTGTTATCCCTTGGAGAAGGTCTGCAACCGATGTTATAAAATCTCCAAAGACTGTCATATGATTATGAGACATGTACAGGTGGCGGTATATGTGTCTCTGAAGTTTCATACAGTACAGGACTGCAGTCGGTGTAAAATTCTAGATACAGGTAGTATGTTTCAAGCCTGTGGTGATCAAGAGATTAAACGTCTCAAAAACCGAAACTTCAACATGGAATGGCATAGGGCAGGATTGCCGGGGATCATCCATGTTTTGAAAGGGGCAGGGCCTGATGTAGGCCTTTCAAACGGTGCAGCAGGCGGTGGAAACTTCCCCTGGGAAGATAGGGAACAATCGGAGGACTTTATTTCCCACCAAAATGGTGAAATGGCTCGCGCGCCAAATTTGGTATGGGCTGCAAGCCCCTCTTTCAGAGGCTCGCTTTGCGAGGTGCCCGTGGCACGCTGGGGTCCCCCCAGCCCTCCGAAACGAGGGGATTGTGTTAAGCTAGAACCTATGTAGCCTTCGGGCTCTCCCCGGAACAAAGAAAATATGTGTGTTGTAGATTGTATGTACCCTCGTCATGCCAAAGACGATCACCATGAATGGCGTTTGTTTTGAGCCAGGAAATTCGCCGAAACTGTTCATTTATGTATGATCAGGGCCAACTTGAGGCGCAACATGAGTGGTGGTCCATTGCTGGCACTCTCAAGCAGCAACTATAAGCAACCAGGATGGGAAAGAACTCTCAAGTCCCAGTGTTCAAGGACAACCAACGAGTCTGATCTGATCTGATCTGATCCTGATCTGATACAAGATCAGACAAACATTTAAAAAAGGGCACCACCGGGTACATACCTGAGCCTGAAGACAACAATCATGGAACACGCATGAATTTACAAGTCAACCGCCGCACATTCGAGATGCCAACCAATATAAATTATCGAACGGACTACGAATGGACGTCGTTTGAGAAAAAGTAGCCAGGAAGCAAAAAAAAAAACACTTGGAAGGGATGACCAATAGGGCTGAATTAGAGACAGATATCCAAAGCGCGGATGACTGGACGGTGTGTGTGTGTCCCACTCCACAGTACTCTGGATCGATTGGGTTGATGAGAGAAAATGTAATAGTTTAGGGGGTCTGTGAAATTTACAAAGTGCCCTTTGCAATGCCATCCCCTTGTAAAAGTGAAGCCATGTAAAAATGCACAAAGTCTTTGACAGAGTTACTTTTACAATGAAGATGGCCAAATCCACACATCACAAAAGGATGCCCGTTATTTGGAATGTGCAAATTTCCCAATGCAGGGCTGCACTGTCATTTTCACACAGTCTTGATTTACAATGACCCTTACTGGGGCTGCAAAAGTGCACCAATTCCCCAAAATGTTGGATTTTACACAGGAACATTGGATCCAGATCCTCCAGCACGATGCCATGACTGTCCGTGCTTGCACCATTCACCTAGCATCCGGCCCCATAAGAAGTTTATGTGGCATCGAGGAAGACATCAATCCAATCTTAATCATTTCTTAATCATTCACTCCACATCCAATCATTAATCTGTCCTACCCGCTAGATCTACATCTATCTATCTCTGGCTCACTTCCCTTTCGAAACACATTCCATCTGATTTTTATCACATCTTAACATGTCCTCGCCAAGTTCGAACAGCCTTCATAATACCTTAATAGAACCCTCCCCACCATCCGTAGCCATTCAGCATGGTTTAACAACCCGGCACAATTGGGAGTTGCCACTAGCCAAAGACCAAGTGACATTCATTGATCACGACTGCCGAATGGATAGGGAGGGTTATCCACTTTACCCCAATCAAAATACTACCTTTGTACTCCAGCCAGGTGCTCAGATCACCAATTTTGGGAACGTCGGCTATTCAAAGACTACCAGCAATGAGAAGAGTAAGGACAACAGATGGAAAGTCATCCGGGTCCGCTGCTTGGGTGTCTTGCTCTGCAATTCCGAAGAATGTGACTATGCCGGGCCTCCACCAACTGGACAAGGGAAGATAGAGGAGTTGATTGGAAGGTCAGATACATCTTATTAGTTTGTGATATCACTTGGACATGCATTCAAATTACTAACCATCTCCTCCATCTACTTTCAGTAATCCAACTTGTCCGGCATCCGGTGGTGAGTGTCCAGGCAAAGTACACTGGCAGGCATGTACAGGAACTCGACTCAGGTTCGACCTTGAAATAGGCACTGGTTGGGGTCTCCTACGACACACAGGGTTCCACAACCACCCATGGCCAGACCCCAAGAAGCCCGATCCTCTGGCAAAGAAGATGCTGGCCTTGGAGATAGCTAAAAACCCAAAGGCTGGCGCCCTCCAATTAAAGGTGTGGGCATACATCTACCTGTTATTTTTATCGCTGCCTAAGCTGACCCAAATCTTCAGGTTGGGGATCCCAACACGTCACACGAGCCATACAGCAGTGTAATAGATATCCATGAATCACTTGGGAACTCAGACCGACTCCGGTACTACAGATGTGAGGTCCTTGAAAGGATGGACCTGGTCCCTAACAAGTCAGGCGGAGGGGACAAATTCTTACACGATATGTTCTTGTGGCACCAGTTGAGTCAGATTTCAGGATCCTATACTCTTTTAACTGTTACCGTTGTGCTAATCTGAAGCTATTATTTGTTTTTTGTTTGACAGGCGGGGATTGGAAGTCATCTCCTCATTGTTCAGCTCAGACAGCGAGCACTTTACATTTCAGACCGCATGGATGGCTGCTAGGCTATTGGATCACACGCAAGAAGAAAACGGATCGACGTACTATAAAGGCGGTTTGATTTCCGATGTCACATACCGCTTTTTTGACACAGGATACTTGCTCACTACTTCAATGTATTGTCAGCAAATCAATCGATGGATTCCAATTCAACTTAGCTGGATACGTGGTTTGTCTGAGAATTACTACAAGATTCACTTTGCAACTCTATTCCGTCAATTCATGCGACCCGAAATCCTAGATGAGGACCGGAAAGATCTGGCCAGGAACATTGTCGATTTCTCCAAGGCTCAATCAGAAGGATTCATATCAGCATATCTGGAAGTCTTTGGTGGGACGGACCGAGTCGAAGCACGTAACAAACTCAAAGGCTGTAAGCAGCATTATCGTGCCTCCATCACCCGCATCAAACGCAACCGTGCCGTTATCATGGCAGATGAGGTTGTAAGTATTCATATTTTGCGAGTCCAACATCCTCATTGGCCTGGATTGCTGATTTGAATTTTTTATCAGTCTGTCTTTGAAAGGATGTGTGAATCCTTGTTGGTAACTTCAAAGGAGGGAAGCCCGACACATGAAGAAAAGATAGATGAGATTCGGCACCAATTCCCAAAGGTGAAGAAGTGGATCGACTGGTGGACAATGGCTGATGTCGAAGCCATGTTGTTTCCAGGCCGGCATGGAAGGTCAGAAGATAGCCCCAATGAGCTCTCCGGCCTCCCCGATACAACCAATGCTCAAGAAAGCATGCACAGGGTGTACTACATGTTGAGGTACATCTCTGAATCAATTACAAATTACTTTCCCAACAAAATGGTTTTAATGTTTATTTTTTTTTCTTTTTCAGCACCGGTAAGAAGTCCTTGATGATCGGGTTGATTGAACTCTTCGCTTTTGTGAAGGCCCTAGAAAGGGACTGGGAACATGTCCAACGTGGAATGACGATAGCTTATGGCTCCCTTCCAAGCAAGCAGGTAGATGTGGCACAGTCAATTGGGTGGACCAAGCTTACCAAGCGCCAAAAATCTGCTGTCAACGATGGACGACCCCCCGATACATCGGAACAGCTCCTTTCAGACTTGGAACATGCACCCAAACGAGGAAAATTGGGCCGGCCGAAAAATTCACCAAACATTATCAAGAACACACCAGCCACTTACGTCTCTTACGTTGCCTCAATTCAGCCCAAATCTCGTAATCGGTGTTGGTTGGCTGCGGCCTTAGAGTCATTGTATGCTGTTTACAGCCCCCTCTGGCTGCGAGAACCTGGCGGGAAGACAGATGATCTGTTTTTCTTTCTGGTTTCTCATTTCACCTGTTGGACAACTTACGAGATGACAAGAAGCACCCAAGTGCGATCAATCCTGACTCAAGGCTCAAACAAGCTCTTCAACGAGGTCCACAAACGTTTTCCAGAAAGCTTTGTCTATGGGGATTTTGCATCTTTGGATTTCTTTGTGGAGCTGATGCTGGATCCGACCCGAAACAAGTCGAAAATGTTACCAAAACTGTTTCAGGTTGAAGAGAATCGCAAATTCACCTGTAGTTTCCACCCCGGTCAGCAGGAACATCCACGTGGATCTCGTACCCTGAGTGTCCTCAAGATAACCAAATCCATGTTTGATGCAAACAACATTGGGTATTCAAACTTCGTTGACCTTTTCAATCAATGGACTAGCAGTGGTCTTCTTGGAGTTTCTGGACTTCAGTGTCGCAAATGTATCAGCAAATCACGTCAGGACAACCAGCCATCCCCCAACACACCCACGGTCCAAAGCTATCTGAACGAGCAATCAACTCTATCCTTTCTCGGCGATACCGCTCCGGCTCATCTATACTTCCATGTTGAAGTTGCACCAATCTTGTCAAGGGACACCCAACGGGAGATCATGGGTGGTGTTAATTGGCCCTTCAAGCTAACATTCAAAGGCGAAGAGTACACCTTGATATCACGTGGCTTTTGGACCGGCGCCCACTACTGGGGAAAGGTTTTACGGCATTTCAACGGACTCACCGGTGTATGGTTGCACGACGACCACCTCAATGGAGGGTTTGCCCAGTTGGTTAGCCAGGTTCCAGGAAGTATTAGTGGTGCACTCCCAGACACCAGCTCGCTAATCTACTCTCGGTGCTGGACACCAAATGAGACTCAGTTTATAGACGAAAGCATTGTCAAGATCAAGAGAGACAACCCTAAGGTTACCATCTCTGACATCCCGTTTGTGAATATGCAAGCAGTGATTTGTTCTGCTTTTGATTCGGCATTACCTCATCTGATTGGCAATCCAATTTCACCCCCCGAGCCTGTTCCCTACGTCAAGATCACATTACCGGATGATGACTCCCAACCAGACGGTTAGTACAGGCAACTTAAATTTCTAGCATCAAGCAACAAAGAAAGAGACCTGAGCTAAGATTTTCCATGTTCGCAGGTCATCAGATGGAAATCGACGCGGAAGATTGCAAAGATGTGACACTTGATCCGCCATCAGAAAAGAGCTTGAAGATTCGCATCAAGAGGACCAAACGAACAAATCAAGACGTCCTTGATTCGGTGATTCCGCTAAATTCAGATCTACTACATGTATCTGGTGCGCCAATGGCGTCTTTGACCCCATCTATCCCGATTGAAGTCCCACCCAAGACCATCCCTGCCACCACCCAAGCCAAGCGAATGAAGACGACCAGAGTGCGGAAAGACCTTCCAAAGGTCAAGGTTAACCAAAAGAAACAATTTTTTCTGGCCCCTTTGACTAGTGCCGACTGGAACCGTCTTGCAAGTGCTAGTCGGGCCTATTGGGACGAGCACTGGGAGGCAGAAGGGATTAACGACTCTACGGTTAAACCATTCGCCAGCGCTGCCAACGTGGATTTGAATTCACTGCATCGGCCAACTATCGGTTGAGCAGACTCGGTACCTGCACCAAACACTGTACCTCTGAGTTCTCAAGGGACCCGTAGATCTTTGAGAAGGCGGGTGGCGTAGTGGGTGTGTCTCAACAGATGGATCGTTTCCTCAAGCAATGGGATTATTTCCTTTTTTTTCTTTTTTTTCCTCAATCAATGGGCATTCATTTTGTTTCCCTCTTCTCTTTTACCTCAATTGATGGCTGTTTTTCATCATTTTTCTTTAAGTATTTGTTATCTAAAGCTTGAATATGGTTGTTTTGAGTGATGGTCTTTGACCATTCTTTTCTTTTTTTTTGTGATGCTCTTCTGTAAGTGGACGGGTGTATGATTATTATGTGCCTGCAAAAATCTTGTGTGTTTTTAAGGCGATTTTGTAATTCAACTTGTGCAAATTTGAAGTTTGGTAGCGGTTGTGGCATTTTTATGAGGGCTGCTTTCCACGATGGCAAGAGAGACAAAACACGCGGTTGCAAAAATGAAAGGAACACAGGTTGAGGGGTAAATTTGCACCGGACTTTTTGCGGTGAGGTGCTTTGCAAAGTGGCAAAAAACACCCAACTTTGTAAAATTACTCTTAAAACCATTTTGGTGCAAATTTACAAGGGAGAGTGTTTACAGGGACAAATCTCCGTAAAAATAAAATTGTAAATTTCCACATCCCCATAGTTTAGGCGTGTAAACCAGGTCGAAGAAAGAGGTCAATTGATTACTCATGAGCAGTCACATGCTGCTCCATAGCCAACACAAAAACCCCCAACATCTTGACATAGACCTCAATATAACTAGGGGGTCGGAAAAACGACTCCCTAAAATCTGCCGACGAATCCCATTTTGGTCAAGGGTAGGGTTGATGGCGCCCCTTTTAGAAAAGTGCGCGCCGGAGGGTGCCTTCAAGGCTGGCAGCAATGCGCGCCTTTGGCTGGCACATTGAAGGCGCGCGGCCTCAGGTTGCCAACAGGTCGGGTTTGGGTCAAAAAACAGTGCCGGAAACCGACCCGAAAGCACAAACGGGTCGGGTCGGTTTGGGGCAAGATTTGAAAATGGCTGCCCGAACCCGACCTGGCCATTTGGCAGGTCGGGTTCAGGTCAGTATGGGTCAGGTCACGGGTTGACCCGATTTCTTTGCAGCCAAATTTTATTTCAACGGAACAAGAAAGAAGGAAAGCATATGGGAGGGGCCATGTGGCCCATAGTAATGTAGAGAGGAGGAAACATACAGAGGGGGGGGGGGATAGACAAGTAGAGGGGGAATGGAAGCAAATGATACTATTCTACCTCCACGATATTGTCATTGAATTCGTCCTCCTCATCCTCCTCCTTTTCATTGAGGCCTGCCTCAATCTTAATCCATTCCTGCCCAAGGACAAGAGCCTCAAGAGTCTCGGGCTTCATTTGGCTTTGGTAATCGCCTAGCACCCTGCCACTGGTTGAGAAAGCGGACTCGGAGGCGATTGAGGTTGCTGGAGTCATCAGTATAAGCTTTGCAAGCATCGATAGAGTCGGAAACCGTAGTTGGTGGTCTTTCCACCATTGCAGGATATCAAACTTTCCGGATGTGATTCCTGCAGGTGGTTCTTGGAGATATAGATCAAGTTCACCGGTTGTAGATAAGTTTTGATTGGGGTTCATTGAGGCGAGAAAGGAGTTGAAGTCGTTGTCGGTGGCTCCCACAGCTTTGCCTTTGCCGTGTGATGGTTTGTTGGGTTTGGTAGCGGGGGTTATTGTCTAAGAAAACTCGGAGAATAATGTGTAAACGTTGTCCTTGATTCGAGCAAGAGATGTGGCCACTTCTTTTGTGCCAATTTCTTTGAGGAGCATAAACTCGATGATGGCCAGCTTGCACCGAGGATCAAATACAATGTTCATTGCAGCGAAATCTTCCATCTTATTCCAATATTTGTCGTATTTCTCTTGCATCGGTTTGATAATGTCGGTGATGTGAGTTGGCCCGGTTTTGACAACTTCTTTAAGTTGTTTATTGATTGCCTTCATGTTCTTGTAAATAGCGTGTGCAATAGGATGTTGGGTCATACCGAGTTTCTTCATAGCTGATATTGTAGAAAAGAAAAAAGTTGAAAATCAATACAAATGAAGGTTGAGTGAGAGTCTTGAGAAAATAACAAACCTGTATAAAAACCTTCAAGAAATTGAGACATTGTCGATATCTCCTCCCACTCTTCTTCAGTCGGACAGGTGGTGAAGTTTGCATCTTGCATTGCAAGGTTGTCAAAGGCAACTCGGTATGGTAGCGACAACTTGAGCATGAGGTAGGTGGAGTTCCAATTAGAGATGGCAATGGGTACCCGTTTGCGGGTACCCGGTACCCGTTTGCAGGTACCTGTTCTTCGGAGCGGGTACCCGCCCGCGGGTGCTGGGTGCGGGTGCGGGTGTTGAGTTTTGGGACAAGAAACGGCAGGTACCCGGGTACCCGCCTTGACACCCGCCCTGACACCCGCCCTGGGAATACAGTTTTGGGCTTTTTGGGCTGCACAAAGGTGTCAGCAAACTATGTAGGACACCATTTGGTGTCCTACATGGGCCTGTTTAGGCCAGAGGGAACCCTCCAGCCTTCAAGATGATAGATCAGAGAGAAGATAAAGTGCAAATTAGTGATAGGATATTTTGTTCTTCTTTATTTCTTTATTTTTATGTTCTTACTCATATATCTAGTGAATATCAATCATACATTTGGTAAGTCATGCAGAAATTCAAGGGTGAGATTTCTGGGTATATTTGCCTGCAAAAATGTGCCAGGTACCCGCAGGTACCCGGTGCAGGTACCCGGGTACCCGCCCCTGGCGGCCCTAGCAGGTGCGGGTGCGGGTGCGGGTGTCAAAAATATTGGATTTTTGAGGCAGGTACCCGCACCCGCTACAGGTACCCGGGTATCGAGCGCCATCTCTAGTTCCAATCGGGTTGGGACATCGACCGAGGGTAGCTCTTGCTTCTTAATGCTCGCCTGTTGGATGGCCTCGCTGAAATCCTGCTTTCGTGAGGAGGTACTTTTGGTGTATTGAACACTATCTCGCATCTTGTCAATTGCCCCACTCAGTTGCTTCAGTCCGTCTTTGACAACCAGATTGATGATGTGGGTGGCACATCGAACGTGGAAGAATTGACCGTTCAGAAGGGGGGGGGGAATTTCGATCGTTCTTTGAGTACTAGACAAACGCGACTGATTGCCGCATCGTTGGATGACACATTGTCAACTGTGATACACGTCACCTTATCGATGATTTTCCAATCGACCATGGTTGCAACGAGCTGGTCGCCAATAGCCTTGCTGGTGTGCGGAGCTGGGAGTTCTTTGAACACTAGTAATTTCTTTTTGAGAGTCCAATCATGGACATAATGGGCTGAAATCACCATGAAGGGTGACTGGTGAGATGAGGTCCAGAGATCGGTGGTAAGCGAGACTTGATCGACTTCAGCTAGTTCCTTGGCAAGCTGTGCCTTCATTTTTTTGAATGTTGCGAGGATGTCTGATTGGAGGGTAGTGCGGCCAAAGATCTTGAAGCGGGGTTGGATTGATGCCAAGAATTCACGAAAGAGCGGATACTCAACAAATCGGAAGGGGAGCTCGTGGGCGATGACCATTTTTACCAACAGCTCGCGCGACAATTCCTGCGAAAGCATCCAGTTTGACGGGGCCAAATTGCCACCGCTAAGCTTCAACATTGTTTGCTTGGTGCACTTGGCGTAGTTTTTACATCTCTTGAGGTGTTGTCGTAGGGTCGATGTTCCATTGCCACTGTTACCGTTTAACTCAGATCAGCAGTAGTTGCAATGAGCCTTGGCAGCCTCACCTGGGGAATGAAAGACCAAAAGATGTCAGGACTTGGGAGAAATAAAAAGACTGAAGAGGTGAAGGGAGAAGGGAGGGGCTTACCGACTCCGACTTTCTTAAAATGTTCCCAAACGTCACTGCGAGACTTAACTTTGGTTGGATTAGTACTAGTCAAATCGGTTTGGTCTGGCTCGGGATTGATGCGAGTTGGTGTTGAAGTTGGAGAGGCTGCCACTGACACCTGCGCTTTTGTCTTTGGTATTTGACTATCAGTAGCAGTTACTTTGATTGAGTAGTTGGCCGCCTCCTTGGTACTGGAATTGCTTTCAGAAGAGTCACTTGCTTTCCGTTGAATGATCGGGTTGGGTCGCTTGTGTTTGCTACGGGTTTCTCTGGCCATTGTGGCTTGTTGATGGTGGGACTCGAATTGGTGGGAATTGGCGGTGGGGAATCAGACTGTAGAGAAGAGAAGTCAAGACTCTTGACTCAAAGTTTGACAAGACCAGGGTCCGGGGGACCGGTGAGCCAGCTATTGGGCAGCGGGTACATATGACAACCGCTGATTCTTACGCAGGATTATCCCGGGTATCCCCGCTGCAAAATCCAGTCAGGTTTCCCGGGTCAACCCGAATGACAGCAGACCTGCCCGAACCCGAACCAAAATTGAATTGGGTTGGTCCGGGTCGGGCAGAAATTCCATCAAAGGCTGCCCGAACCTAACCCATTTGGTGTCGGGTTTCGGGTTGGTGTCGGGTTGACCCAAACCGTTGGCAACCTGAGGCACGCCAGGGGCACCATTTGTTCTTTTTTTTTTTTTTTGGTTTCATGATGATCTGAATTCAAAAAAGGGATTTATGACTATGTATGTGCCTATGTACAGGGACAATTGGGAGGGAACATGGAGGAAGAGCTGGGTAGGCTTTGCTTGGTTGAACACCTTCTGACAGTAGGTGCACTTTGCCTGACGCCTCCAAGATTGATTTTTCCGCAGATCAGACATTAAAAATCCAATCCACTGTGGACCATGAGACTTTGTCGGCTTGGACCATCCTTGCTGGTCTGAGTTGGGTGGCATGATGGCAAAAAATGGTACTGATAAGAACGATTGATTTAAAGATCTTGTGAAGAACTTGAAAGTTAAGGTTGGATCATGAAGAGCTCAATTTCTCAAGGATTGAAATTGCAATATTCTAATTTCTAGGGCAATCCAGGCACCAGAACCCAAGGACCAAGGTCCCACTCATCTTTGATAATTTCACATACACTTCAGACTCAAGTGTTATTCTCCCAGCCTACCTTCAAGGTAGTCATTTATGCTTCAGGCAACACTGGGTATATACTTTACAGTTATTGGTATAGTATTGTTATAGTATATATATTTCCAAATTTACTATAAAGGGTGTGGTTATAGTCTGATTTTCAGGGCCCTTTACTATAACTGAGGAGAACAGGAATTTCTTTTGGGTGATTTACTCTACTATAAACTACCCTGGATGCTGATAAAAACATCTACAGCTACTTATGAGAGTCTCTTGACCACAGAAGGGCTCTCTGGAGTTCACTTCATGGTTGATAAAGCTAAGGCCCTCACAATATATTGCAATTTTGGAGCCACAAAAAGTGGCCTATACTATACCAAGCTTGGTGGGAAACACACTGGTTATAGTATTGGTATATTAAACAGAAATTTGAAGAAACTTTACTATACTAAAAAGGGCCAGTTATAGTAAAGTATAGTATAGACCCATTGCTGCTTCAGGGAGATCTTGGGAGCCTCCACGCTCTCCCCACCAAAGTTAGGGTTAGAAGTGCACACCATCCACCCATTTTTCCAGATTTTGTGCGTGCGCAGCGCCCACACATTGGCACGCCTCAGGTAGTGCGCTGCACATTGACACGCCTCAGGTAGTGCGCTGTCAACCCTAGTCAAGGGGTCATTGGACGGGAGTTGTCTTTCCAATCCCCCCTGGTGGATTGGGAGTCAACTTCCCAAATGTTTTTTATTAAAATTTATTTTTTTGGTTGGGAGTTGGCACCCAAACCCCTCCTTGGCAAGTGGGAGGTTTGGGAGTCGCCTCCCTCCCACTAACTGGGGGGGATTCCCTCCGGTCATTAAGACTGTACAGTCTCAATGACCAGAAAGAATCCCTCCCCGTCATCAAGACCATACAAATTTGATGGCCGGAAGGAGTTCCTTCCGGCCATTGAGACCAATCTCTGTGACCGGAAGTAATTCCTTCCAGCCTCAAGATTGTATGGTCTAGGTTGTAACACCTCATTGATTGGAAGGATTTCCTTCCGGTCAATGAGAAACAACAACTCCATTGACCGGAAGGAATCCCTCCCAGTCAATCAACAACACCATTGACCAGAAGGAATCCCTCCCAGTCAATCAACAACACCTTTGACCCAAAGGAATCCCTCCCGTTCAATCAACAACACCATTGACCGGAAGGAATCCCTCCCGGTTGATCAACAACACCATTTACCAGAAGGAATCCCTCCCGGTTGATAACAGCCTCATCGACCGGAAGGGATTCCTTCCGGTCAATGGTGTTGTTGTTTCTCATTGACCAGAAGGAAATCCTTCCGATCAATGAGGTGTAACAACCTCATTGACTGGAAGGAATCCCTTCAGGTCAATGAGGCATAATAACTCCATCAACCGAAAGGAATCCCTTCCGGTCAATGGAGTTGTTGTTTCTTATTGACCAGAAGGATTTCCTTCCGGTCATGTGGGAGCAACTCCCAAATCCCCTCAAGCATGAGGGGTTATTTGGGGATCCGACTCCCAAAAATGCAAAAAAAAAAATGAAAAAGGGTCTTAGCTAATTGACTCCCAAACGTCCAGGACATCCTGAGGACTGTCTGTGGACCGTCCTGGGACGTCCAAACCCCCTATCCCCCCCCCCCCCCAACAGTTTGGGAGTTGATCCTCCAAAACCGTTGGTTTGTTTGGGAGTCAACGGTCTAATAAAAATATTAATAAAAAAAAAAAATTGGGGGTTTGGGAGTCAAACCTCCAAAACCCCATGGTTGTTTGGGAGTCAGAGACTTAATTCCTACTCCAGCCCAGGAAAAACCCTGCACAGTCATTTGGGAGAGTCAGCCCTCCAAAAGCGACTGTGCGGATGGGAGTCGGCGCTCCAAAAAAGAGACCAATGAAAAAAAGAATAAAAAGAAAAAAGACTTCCAAGACAAATAAGAATGACAGAAAAGGGTAAAATGGATGGAAAAGTGCCAAAAAAGCACATCAAAGGAACATGAGGAAAAGCAACCCCCCCTCCCCCCCCCCCCCAAAAAAAAAGGAAAAGCAAAAAGGGGAAAAAGAAAGGGGAGAAATGGAGGGAAAAATCCCCATAGAAGTACATCAAAGGAACCAGATGAAAAAAAGGAAAGAAAGCAAAAGAGAAAATCAAATCAAAGAAGGGGAAAATGCAAAATGAAGAGGAAAATGGAGGGAAAATAGCACCAAAAATGGGGAAAGTAAAATTGTGAGATTATCAACAATTCTCACTGGGTGAAGGCAAGAAATCATGGCTCCAGAGATCCTATTGTCCTTGAAAAAAATGATAAACCAAGGTGGAAGAAGAACCAATGGTGATATTTGCTTGTTGTAGGCTAGTGTTAAATTGACTACTACAAGTGGTCAACGCGTGGTTGACAAGAAATGAATAAAACACCATGTTGAACCAAAATTAATACTTTTGATTAAGTTTCTTGAGAGACTAGTGTGAGCTCATCCCTGCTGATGAAACGGAGGAATTGGGATGCAAGTGATATCAACTTCCGTGCATCGGAAGTCGAGATTGCTCGCATTAAGGTTTGGAAAGGGAGTAGGGACTCCCATCCGCGCCCGCGCAGTCGTTTTTGGAGGGCCGACTCCCAAATGACTGCGCAGGTTTTTTCCTGGACTGGGGTCTGAATTGGGTCTCCGACTCCCAAACAACCGTGGGGTTTTGGAGGTTCAACTCCCAAACCCCCAAATTGTTTTATATTATTTTGATTAGACCGTTGACTCCCAAAAAAACCAACAGTTTTCTGTTGGGGGAAAAAAATAGGGGGTTTGGACGGCCCAGGACGGTCCGTTGGACCTTTGGGAGTCAGTCCTCCACTTTTTGGGAGTCAATTAGCTAAGACCCTAAGAAAAAAAAAAAAGCATAATTGGATGGCCATCCATTTGGAAAAATGACTCCCATTTGATGTCCAACAACCATATTTGGGAGTTGGTGACTAGAATTTCGGGAGTTGTTTTTCCAAGCCCCTATAACTATTGCAAGTCCAATTCATAACATCAACCCACTCAAAGAAGAAGAAAAAAAAATCCTTACAAAAGTATACTAGTAACAATACTGCAACGACAAAAAAAAAGAACCGATCCATATACAAATGATTAAAAGCGTGTAAAAGTGTACAAACATATAACAAGAGTACAACAGAATCAAAATATAATGTTTTGGGACAAAGATCTACCAAGTGATGTAACAGTAAGGGAAACAGATCAAAAAAGAGTCATCAGGATTTGCTTGTGAAAAAAAGGGGGAGGAAGAAGAGCCGGCTTTACAAACAAGTCATAAGTACTTTTGAAAAGGCATACATCAGAAAGGAAGAGAAAAACGTGATCTATTATCTATCTATTCATCTAAAAAAAAGAAAAAAAAAGAAGAAGAAGAAGAATCAATCTTCGATCAGGAGTTCTTCCGCGGTTGATTCATTCCTATCTCTCTCATCACTACCGTCGCTATGATTGACGAGTCTAGCGGAGCGAATGGAGGCCGAGGAATGCCGATGACGGAAGCTCTTCCTGGCGACGATTTCCTCTCCGGCGGAGCTGTTACCGCCGCCGCCAGTGTCGTCGCCGACGAGCTGGTCGAGGAACAGGCCGACGGACTTGGAGCTCTGCGAGAGTCGTCGATGGAGGTTCCTGCGCTCCCTGAGCATCCGCAGCTGGCGCAGGTTGCCCTCAGGACTGCCCATCTGGGGCATCTCTACCTCTGAGTCCGTCCCATACACCTGCGATCGCTCATTCTCTACCCCCGAGATCCCCCCCATCTCGTCCTGCGATCCTTCCGTACCCCCTCCTCCTCCGTCGCCCGAAACGGCTGCTCCTTGCGGATTCGGAATCGTCGGCTCTTGGCTTCTCTTCGTCTCTTGTCGTCCCATAAACACCTGCCGTTCAATCCTCAGTCGGTTCTCAATCATCCGAATCTGTTTTTTCAAAATCAAACAGTCAATTTTTTTTTCTTCTTCTTTTGATAAGATGACCATTTGTAAAATGAGAGAAAAAGTTTACCTTAGGCCAAGTCACCCGTTTCCCGACATTAATCATCCGAGCCAATTCCTTACGATCCGGATCAGTGAGGATATTGAACCAATCCCTGAACCTACTATGAGGCCAAATAGTGACTGTTCCTTCGAACCTTTGAAGGAACACAGCCGTGAAAGTTTGGCCGCCGAGTAAGGGCAAGAGCTCCAAGTCTCTGATAACCTGAACGAAGGGGAAACAAATAGTGACGATTGTCAAGTACAATCAGTATATCATTTCTACAACATTGTATGACGGAGAGGTTTTATTTTTATTGAAGGGGAAATAGTCAACTGACTCTTAAGTTCTTAATTAACTCGATCTTCATATATTGTTCCAACGCACTCAAAAAGAAGCCGCCCCGCCAACCTTTGCCTTTCCGGTGAACGACCGGCTCTCCAGGAGCGCCACGAGGCTGAAAGAAAAACAGATGGATGTGCGGATTGACCTGAGAGACGATTGAGAAACTAGTGTTGAAATACTATCAGATGGGGACAGTTGATCAGTGATTCAAGCAAGATCCTACATGTTTTTTTTTCTTTTTTTTGATGAAGCAGCTTACTAGATGTAAACTCTCCAAGGGGACATCGACTCTCAAACTACCATCCTTATGTTTACCCTGAAATTGCCACGGTCTCACTTTACCGTCCTTTGACTTTTCAAGAAGGACGACTGGATTCAACACTAATGGGACGGCAGCAGAGGCGAGAATCGCACTGAAAATCACACAGTTGGGGGCGGTCGTGTAGTTCAATAATGTTGTTGGAGAATGAACATCATGCTTGAAAAACAATTACACTCAAGTTAGTCCCACTCCATTTTGTGAAGGAGAAGAGATGGACTGACTGGAATGACCGAAACATTCAAAATCCGTCCAGTCCGTTCATAGGCCTCTAAGAACGTCATAGACCCCATCGTAAAAAAGCTAGACTAATCTCCTCCAACCCCGCCAACCATAACTATCAGCCACATTAAAACTGAAAAAAAGCTGGTAGGAGAGGAGCAAACCTTCTTTGCCCACAGGACGGTGTCGAACCGGGCCCCAGTCTTGATCATTCTCGGCAGCCAAACCTTAAGATCACAAAAAAAAGACTCTTTTAAAAATTGGTCGAACAGGTTTTCCAAATGTAAGAAAAAAAAATTGATGTTTAATGACCGACCGAGATGGGATCTTCACAGGCAGTGATCATGTCGGCTATTTCAGGAACCAGAAGACGGTCCAATTCTTCATCCGTATGTGTACATAAAAATGCAGCCACTACAAAGATAAACAGGTAAGGTTTTTGTTCATCCTTGCAGTGGAACTATGCGAAGTAAGCCTACCAAGTGCTCCAGCTGATGTTCCTGTAATAACAGTTGGAATTAAGCGAGCATCCAACAAGGCTCTAATGACGCCAAAATGATCTATGCACAAAGCATCCCCCCACGCCACCCAAGCAAACACAAATTAGAATTGAGTAAACCCGAAGATCAAAATTTAAGCAAGAGTTATTGGGAGGAAAAGGGAGACTTGGGTGCTCACAGAATCCGAACGTAGCTCCGCCACTCAAACATAACGCAGTCGTGCCCATGTTCTTGGCCGCTCGACGGAAGAAAACAGTCTTCTCTTGCGCCGATAGGTGCGTTGTTTCTCGCAGATAAACCAATGATTTTTCCACTACATAAATGACAAGAGAAACAAAAAAAATCAGTATATTATTCAGTTCGTCTGTATCTTTTATTCAATGTTCTTTTAATGGATAAGCACAATCAGAACTAACCTTCATCCACATAATTTTCAATCAACGTCTTCGTCCCTATGAAAAAAAAACCCGGGCCCGAATTTGAAATGAATTTTGAGTAATCAAGTATTGCTAAGAAAAAAGAAAAGAAAAAGCAGACCAAGATGAGTTTGAGAGTACAATCTGATAGACTCGATGCCCGCGAAGTTAGCCCTTAAGCAGACTTCCAAGACCCCTTTGAGACTCTCTGGATCATTGTTGAGTCTGGAACGTTCAAGACTGGCGACCACCTTGCGGACGGAAATCGAGTCGTAATAGGCATTCGATGCGTTTCGTTTCCATTGGCCAAATCCCTACCATTCATTCATCCCATTTCGTTAGAGTGTTTCTTCTTTAAATCAGGTCTTTACTCGTCTATCTCTTGAGACCATGTTGAGGGGAAAAGAACAATGGAAGGGCACTGACCAGTAAGTCATCTAACTCCAATGCCGCAGCTTTCCATTCCTCGTACGTCTCAGCAGCTCTTAACTTCCTCCTCAACCGTCCCTCTTGAGCTCTCCCTGTCCACCACCGAAGAACAACAACAACCTTGAAACCTTAATACCTATTCCTAACACAACCTAAAAAAAGGTAAAAGAGAGAGAAGGAAGAGGGGGGGGGGGGTCTTACAAGACATGAGTGTTTCGAAGAGTCGTACGATTTGTCTGACTGAGACGTATATCAAGAATTCGAACATGAATGCTACTCCAATAAGCGTCTATAAGGATATCAAAAGAAAAACAGAGATTGATGATCAGTCAAAATGAGACCAAACCGACCGAAAACAAGAAGGGAGAAGGCGGACCAAGAGAGGCCATCTGGAGATATGATACGCCCATCCTTCCCGCACAATGTCTTTGCGAGGCTTGGGGTTCTTGGAGGCTCGTTTGTGAGAAGATGATGAGGGTGGCGCCGGGTCTGCGTGTGAAGAAGGTCTTCCCGAAGAGGACGACGAAGAAGGGTGAAGTCGCGTTGGATCGGTCGATCCAGCTTGTCTATAGAAACGAAATCGGAATCATTAAGATCAGTCTGCAAGAATTGTTGAGTTTTTTTTTTTCAGCGGATGGGTGTGACAAGAGATGAGGATGGAGGACATACGAAGAAGAAGGGGCGGAGGAGCCGGGTGGGGGTCTTGCTGGAAAGCTGTGCGGGCCGACGGGGAGATGGTGGAGGTCGACATCCTGGGCATGCAGGGCTTGCCGGAAGACCAAGAGATCGTCGTCGTTGTACCATCTATGTAAAAAGAACGAGCACGGGGCAAGAGAGTGCTCAATGATATAATCAGACGAGGGTCGTCCGTCGTGGGCTATGTATTGAAGGATCTGCGAACTCAACTTCTTCTTGAACTCGTCACATCCCCATCCAGCTTCTCCCTGAGGAGGACTGAGTCGGTCGGGATCGATCTCCCCATATGGCGCTTGTTGTCCCCGTGTCGTCATTCCTCTTTGTATCTCTCTCTCTCTCTTCTCTTCCAGTCTTGCCCGGTCTTCTCTTGGATTGTAATCCCTGGCGATATCGGCTGTCTCCCTCCCGTCAACGGTTTTCAGGTGTGTTTTTGGGAAGGAATGTTTGTGGGCTCGACTCGATTGGGTTGTATGTATGTAGGCCTTGTTGATTGGTTGTCGAGTGTCCTGTGGTTTCAAATGGGTTGATGGATGATGAGTTTGTTTAAGTACACACAACAAGAAGAAGGTGTAAACTAGCTCGTTCTCGCACCAGTTGTTGTTGCTGTTGTTGTTGTTTTACGTATTTCTTCAATCCAACTATCTACGATCGATCTAAATATCTATTCTTGGAAACGCTCGATGATCGGGAACAAGTACATAAAATAATATGTTGTAGTCGAAAAAAAAAAAAAAAACAATACAAATCTTGAGAAACGGTCAACAGCGGTCAACAGCCCCGATCAGTGACGCACAGTCGTTCCAACGATAATGAATAATTTGCCCAAGACGATAAGCTTAAAATGAAGATGTCTGAGTGGAGGAGAAGAGTATTATCTACTCGGGATTGCTTCTGAGAATCATCGGATGATGATCAAAACGAGGTTGAGGCTCAAGGAGAGAAGAGAAGATAAATATGTACGCACCCCAACAAGCTGCTCGTTCGACTGGTCAACCAACCGGCAAGACGTGCTCTTTCTCCATGATCAGAGGAGGTGTAGCACCACCATCTGAGTATATGCACGACAACCAGAAAGCGTTGAACGACTACCAAAGCCTGCACTTGAACCTTATATATCCTCTCCAAGCCCTGGGAATCTTGGCGACCAGCTTAACACTGATCCTCTCCTGACGAGAGTCGTGTGCGGGCAGGTCTGCTTAAGCCTTACAACTGAAAGTTGGCCTGAGCAAGACTGGATTTGGAGGCCCGTTTTTCTACTTTCATCTCTGGCTTCCATCCCATTTATATTGTTAGGATTTCAATGCAGTCTTTTTCCGGTTCTCTGCCATGATCTCTGCATTGATGTTTCTGTTTTTTTTTTTTCATATTTGTATTTCCATACCAACCTTTTTTTTTAAAAAAAAAAGTGGAATTCTCATTTTGCAGGTAGAAAGAGCCTCTCTGCCAAAGTTGGGAATCAAAGTTCAAAATCATCATGAACTCCATTGCCTATAAGTTTCAAGTGTACATAGAATCACACAACTTTTCAAAATAAAAAAATATGTAAGAAAATCAAGTCTATGTAGATCTCTTTCATCTACTGGCGGACTTCCCATCGGATCTGGGACCCTTGCAGTTTGTGATTTAGACCCAAAAAAAAGTGTGGATTTTCGCAGGGAAATCTAGATTTTGCAGTTCTAAATCGTAACTAGGAGACCCGCAGATGTCAGCGGGAAGTCATCCACTAGAACCAAGAAGAAAAATTTGAATCACAAGGAATGAGTGGTGGGGCAAGGAAGGTTGCCACCACCAAAACTGTGTTTCTGGCTCACACAAGACATGCATTTTAGGTTGCAAGTCCGTCCCTGCGGAAGGGGGTGCTTCACGCCCAGCCAGTCACACCAGCAAGCCTCCCACCAGGGGGACTTCAGGTGTATCTTACCACTCAACAATGAACCATTGTATGGAGGCAGCAAAAACATAGAGGATACCCCCGCTGCATCCCAGGAGAGTTTTTTGACCATTGACCACCATTGAAGCTCATTTTTTGACCATCAACCACCTTCTTTTGACTGCAGGACCCATTTAAAAACCATCAATTTTCTGCTTTGTTACGCTACACTAACCCCTACGGTTAGTGTAGTGGCCCACCGTTGTGAGAAGTGTCCAATTGATGGTATTGAAAAACAGGTATGATTACTGAAACTAGAACCAGAGCTAAAAAGGGCAAACAATGTTAAAAAAGAACAAGAACAATCTTTTCAAAGAACAAATGAAGTTTAGGAAATTTAAGCATACCACAATAAGACTTTTTGTTTGAGTTAGACAGAACAAGCAAGCTGAAGCACAATAGATCAAAGAGACTGAAATAGTAAACACTATTTAATGAAATCAAAGACATAGAGAGATGGATAAAAAAAAGGTTAGAGTTGATGGGACAAAGAGAACAAGAGATCAGAGTCAATTGTTTTCTCACCAAATTGGCAAGAGCCAGGAAAGTGTATCAATAAAGATAGTTGCAGTGATTAGCAGAGGTGAGTGTTGAGAGTTGAGTCAAATTGTTGAGGGTGAGTCAGCTTGATTGGTTTTGGTGAGGTGTGTTATTGATCAATGAGAAGATGATTTTTAAGGAGACTGCTGATTTGAAAAGTGAGGATCACGGAGAGGAGAGTATTTATATGAGAGAGTATGTATGTCAAGTTGTGATTGTAAGATAGTAGATGTTAGGTTAAGAATGATGATGGGAGAGTATAGGTTTAGAGAAAAGAGAAATGGGAGAGCGGATACCAAGCGGAGACCAGGGAGAGCGTAGAGAGCAAGGAGAGCAGAAAAAAAGAGAACAGAAATATGGATTTGAGATGGGATCCAGCTGCACAATTCCAACAGATGGTTTTTTGTTGTCCATCAGCCAATCTCAACCAAGTTTCTGATGGACAGTGGGCTCTCTACCATCCTCGGGATGGTCAACCCTCCCAAGCGTCACTTGGACACTTTCTGAAGCATCCAAGTGATCCCCGGCGCCCCTGAGTGTCCGTTGGTTGCTTCAAAAACCCCTTGCGGGTTGCTTGGGACAGAAACCATCTCCCTGCGGGGGGGGGGGGGGTTCTAAAAACCTGTCCAATGGTGTAGGCTATTGGTTGGACATAGTGTCTACATGTATATCCTGTTATTCAGCTGGATTGTCTAAGTGACACCTTCAAGAGTCTCAGATCAAAAACATAAAACAGAGAGCTCATCATCTCACTCCATGACCGCAGTTGCTAAAAAACCAACAGGGTCTTGTTACATATATTGCAGAGGTATAGCTGTACACCAGTGTGCTGAGGTACCTGTGTTAATGGAATCCACCAGGAGAGAAAAAACAATGAAAAGGATAATAAAAAAAACTGAAAGTATGTTGGTTGCAGGTATAATCATAGCAAAAAAGAGGATGATGTAATAAGATGATGTACACAATTGGGGTAAAACCTCATTTCTCCTGATTGTTTTTTTTGACAAGATTGAAAAAAAACAATCACTGTTCCAACAATTAGACACGGTTTGGAAAAGAGGAAAGATACAGCACTTTTTCCAAAGGAAGACAGTTTGCCTAAATCCACAGGGGATTGGTGATCAATGGCGGGGAAGGATGATGATTGGGGTGTAAAACAAACTGTAGAAAAAAAAGAAAAATGATAGGTTCAAGTCAGTGGGTTACACTTATGACTGGCTCAGTGATTCCGGCATTCTTTGCCGTGCCTGCCGCAAGATGCCCAATATTTCATCATAAAGTGTCTCAGACTGGGCCATTCTAACATTGGGATTGCGCATGATTTCGGCAAACGTTTGGACACAGTTGATAAGAGGTTGAGAATTTGCATAAAGAGATGTGAAATGGTTTGTGAGCCGATGAGTCTTGAAAAGGGCACGATTCTTGATGGCCCCTAGGGCAGTTGGGGACTGATGATTCCATTCAGTCAGCTCAGATTGGGTTCTTTGGTCAAGAGGATAATGGATGCAAATCCAGATCAACACCCAAAAAAAGGATTCCAGATCATCCACAAAATCGTGTGGATTTTCTTGTTCGAGCAAACTGACCGACATGAAAACTTTGGTCCCCGTTCTTGCACAGCTGTCTTCTCTATTTGCTATAGGGTAAGCAATCGCGACATCTAGGTCGATCAGGAACGATTTTCGATCCGGATCGTCTGTCTGGTTGTTGATCATGAGATTGTTGATAGAGATGTCTCTATGAAGTAAGCCCGCGTCCAATAAGGCCTGATGCCCTTTGATACAGCCCTCAAGGGCCTCCAACAGGGCAGCCGGAGAATCAGCTGTCCAAATCGGTTGGCCCACATCTTTGAGAATCAAGCGTCTGTGAACCCGATTAATAAAGTCATTTGGCACTTGTCGATCAGCGGATGCGCTAGTGATTTGAATCTTCTGGCCGCTTTTGAAATCAATGCCCCCCCGAACGTGAGATTCAATGTCAACTCTCTTGCTGGCCACGTGGACGTCTTCATGATGATGATATCGCGCCACATGAGATATGTTCTTTTCTGTCACGTTGCGAAGCATAACACCTTCTTCTGTCTGGCAGAGGGGTTGCCATGAATCTTTTATCAGAAAGGTTTGAAGCTTATCTCCAGAGAGATTTGCTTCCCAGCAGGTTGTCCCACGTCCGCAGATTCCCGCTGCTCGAAAGATCCGGGGTCGGATTATTTCGAGCTCTTGAGGACCGGTCTTGGTTTGAATTCGTATGACAGTACGAGGCCCTTGAAGCTGCATGAAGGTTGGATCAAAGCCAAGGAGTTGCTCATCACATGTTAATAACCGTAGAATGAGAGCAAAGAACTTTTTGATATGTTCTCGGTTTGCTTTGACGTCAAATAATTCAGAACCGATGGCTCCGGATCTATCAAACTGCCAGAACTGAAACGAGGTAACGCACAGATTCAAGCCAATGACAAAGCTTCGGGTGGGCTGAGCTGTAAAGAGCTCGTAGACGTTTTTGGCCAAGCAAATGGCAGCATCTTTAGCATCTGATTTGTTCTTCTTGAGCTCGACAGGGACTAGAACATCTTGAATATGATTTTCGTGTTTCAAGTTCCGGGACATGATCGCTCCGCCCAACTTGCGCGCCGCTTCAACGCCCTCCAAACACATGGTAGGTTGAGACTTCCAAGTACGAGAAGTTCGAATTTTCGGTTTTTGCTTGTCCAACTGGATGAAGAACGAAGTGATCCAGTTCAACATGAAACGCTCCGACGTGTCTGATAACGTTTCTCGATACTTGAGATCAATAAAGCTTTCGTCGGGTTCCAGACGCGAGGCGGAATCGATGGGCTGCTTCTGGATGAAATGCTCGAGCAAACCTGGGACGTTAGTATACATTGAGTCCTTCAATTCCCGTTTAAGCGTCGGAAGCAAGTGACTGAGCTGGCTGGAAGAATTGGGGAGGCTGGATGTGATGCCGGTCCTCAGCGGGGTCGGTATGAATGACAAAGGCGTAGGGGGGCTATTGAATTCTTCGTTGATGAGCTCAAGCATTTCTTGGTTGGATAATGATTTGGCTTGATTGTCGAGGAGGAGGGTGATAAGAGGCCTGAAAGGTTGGAAGCGGTTGTTCTCAGCAAAGTGTGTGAATCTCGGGAATCCATTATCACCCCAACCGCGATCTAATTTGATCCCTAGGAGAGCAAACTGTTTTGTGATTTCGCCTCCAAGGACCAAGAGCTGTGTTCTGATTTCTGTCTCAAAGAGAACATAGATATGTGAGATGGTCATTGATTACGTGGCCGATTGATGAGTGAGTGAGTGAGTGAGTGGTGCTTGGCTTACTACTGTCATCAAGCCGAAAGAACTCTTCGACCGTGTTGATCCCAGCTGATGAGATGAGATTCTTCCGTAGAGCTTCGTACAAACCGGTTTTCGATTCTTGTGCCATGATGTTGTGGACGAGGGTGGTGTGGATGTGATGATGAGCTTTGAGAGTGAATCGTCGATATTCGTGAGCATCATGGCCCCGGGGCTTGGGACGGGGTTGGAAGCCCATCCCGAGGGACAAACCCCGGGGTTGAGGGCTCAAACCCTGGAACCCTGTATGTTGCCATGTCTCCAAGAATCCGACTCAGCAGATCCGGCTTGCACTTGCACCCCAGGATGAATAAACAGTGGGCAAACACTCCGGACCACGAGGTTATCAACACAGCCTTTCCGACTATAGTCTATAAGAGGATCCCCGCCCAGCTCCTAACTTAACAAGTCCCTCGATCGGAGGGCCTGGTGCCAGGCTGGCGCAAAGCGCCCCTCGCGAAGCCCGGCCCTCTGGTCGAGGGGATTATGTTAAGCTAGGCCCAGCTCGACACCCGGGCCCCCGGGGCTGCAGCACACAGCATACAATCTTGGTCCGGCAACAGGGCAGTGCAGTAAATGCCCTTAATCACCCAGGGCTAGCCTCACAGTCACACTCACAGCCCAAATCACACTTCATAAAACCGGCACAAGCTTCCATCGATATACTCCTGCAGGAATTTTTCGCCAGTTAATCTCGAGCTCCGTTGACCTTGTGGCCTGCATCCACAGATTAAAGCCTAGTTAGACCAATAACTTCGTTTATATTGAAGCTGATTCGGTCGCCTGTAAGCTGAGCTTGCGATTATTAGTCGACGCGTCTTTGTTTGCAGTCGACGCTTTCTAGCTTCCGTATATTCACTTGTCAAATGCTGAGAGCAGTTCTATGATACAAAGGTGTTGCATCGAGAGAAGGGCTTACCGAGCATTCACTGCACTACTTGATTATTTTGTATGCCTCCTTAATACATAGGATGATAAGTGCTCAAACAACCGGGTTTCTTGTTCTTATGACCTACTGGTGATAGATCAGTGGCCAGCATTCAGCATGTGTTTAAAGAAAGAATACGTCTGCGCTCAATCGAGAAGCCGTATCTCTCTCAGCTTAAGACACTGTTGTATACTGGAATACGAAAAATATCAAACCATAGAAAAGATAGCAAGGCGAATTAGTTTTATGCGGGATCAGTGCAAGGAATTGGCCGAGACCTGGTATCACAGAAGTGCTTTCCGCCAGTTTGAACATGTTAGGTAGGTTTGCTATCCACCAAAAGAGCAACCCAAGAAAGTCGTGGCAACAGTTCATTCATAGACTTACCGAAAAACCCCACCTTGCCAAATAAAGCTTCCCGACTGTCCAGCTATGTACCTCCCATTTATCCAGATAACTAAATCTGACAGTCTATCTGTGCTGTTGAGCGGAAGTTACGAAGGTCTTTGAATTTAGTGAAAATCTTCAAATCCCGGCCTGAGCTGTATTAGATACCCATGAATGACGCTTAATTTTTGCCGGAACGGGAAAAATAGATATATTGGATCTTATCAACACAATTATGTCACAATCAGACTCTGGTTAATGTTCGTGATAGTTCTTCTTTTACAGGTCATTGAATGCTTCCTTTAAACTTGGGTAACAATGTATGATTCCATTTCTGCCACGGACTGACAGGCCGCGGCCTGAAGGAGAGTCGAATGAAAAGAGAATTCAAAAAAAAAAACGACAAAGGGAATCAAACAAAATACTTGGCTATGACTTTCAGGCATCCATCGGAAATTTGGCCCCGGCTGTATGGCTGAGTGAAGCCGAAATTAAGACTCAGGTTGAGTTTTCCAGCGCTTTGAGGAAATTAGCCACAATTCGCTCAACTACAGCAAATTTAGTCGGTAGGTCATCTGTGTCGCATAACTTACAAGGGAAAGGGGGTCGAAGTTGTAGTAACGTATTCCATCAACACAGGTTGTAACTCGGCGAAATGCGAAATTTGGCGAAGCGGCTCTCACGTGCTCATGCGTTTTGGATCATCAGCTTCCAGAAAGTCTTCTATGACTCCATGAACAAATCATTTCGCGACGGCTATGCCCAGCACGCGCTTCAAGATGGCCGATAATTAGGCAACAACCCTGGGATACACAGGAAATTAAAAGCCGAGGAAATCGTCACCGTAGCATCAATTTTGCTCCTGCTTCGAACCGTACGTGCCGTAAAAATTCAGCTGGGGATCCTATATAGGTATGTGTAGTTTAAAGGCTCTCGTCATCTTCATCCGAATCGCACTAACCCCAATCAAATGCTGAAAAGATACTTGGAAAACAGGAAACAAACCGGAGTGTACAGCCCCTTGACAGAAAAAATGGAACCCTTTAATTGGAGTCTAGAGGGCAAACCAATGGACTTGAATCTATGCTTCCTGGTGAAACTGTGGAGAATGAGTTCTAAAAAATGATTCTGACAAATTGAAATGGAAAATATTTTGTAAAAATTTTGTATGTTTTTCCCCATTTTCTGATTTTTTGGGTATTTTTCAATCATTTTTCAATATAGCTCAGAAAATTATGATCAACACAATTGCATGTGAAAAGAATGATTATAAATGAAAAATTGAGAAAAATCAATGATCCAAAGTTTAGAGAGCTGAAAAAGTTGGATTGATATTGAAATTGAATTCAATTTCAGTGCCTGATTGCAGGGTTGGTCTGGTGGATGACACAATCAAAACATGCTTAAAAAAGCTGTTGATCAATTTTTTTTAATTTTTCATTTATAATCATTCTTTTCACATGCAATTTTGCTGATCATAATTTTCTGAGCTACTTTGAAAAATGATTGAAAAATACCCAAAAAATCAGAAAATGGGGAAAAACATACAAACTTTTTACAAAATATTTTCCGTTTCAATTTTTCAGAATCATTCTTTAGAACTCATTCTCCACAGTTTCACCAGGAAGCATAAATTAAAGTCCATTGGTTTGGCCTCTAGACTAGAATTAAAGGGTTCCATTTTTTCTGTCAAGGGGCTGCACTTCGTCTTACCTTTTACAAATCAACTGACGGCTCACCACCATTTCAAGTCCAAGGATGCGACAGGAAGTCTCCAGATTTTGGCCCCAATAGGACGCGATGTGGATGCGCCAAGGAGCGCGAAAAGTGTAATCCAAAGCAGCCTTGACGGGCGAGCCCTTGGAACGGATCGGCTGATGTCAAAGTGTCCATCGAGTTATGTCATTCTTCGGCCAAACTCCCCTATCTAATCGCCTGATAGAGTTATCTTGAATCGATTTTTTTTTTTCACCCCATTGCAAGACTTCTAACAAAAGGGTATCATCTACCGAAAGAGCTTGGTCACCATTTGTTGATCTGAACACCAAAATCCAACATACATATTCCAACACGATGACGACAAACATACGCGTGGCTTCACTCACTTCAACTTCGCCCTTCAGATAGGAGACCGATATAAGCTATCAAACCAAACCAGGCTTCGATAACGCGTGTTAGATTTATGTGGAAATGCCAGGATAGAACGTATGTCATCCCTTTTGAATATGCACACATGTCACTTGGCAGTGTAAAATGAATCTTTTCACAAAGGTAACAGGGCGCGTAGGCTTACAGGCTCAAAGACCTCTCGAGCATCACTCCTCAACTGCTTCTCATTGCGAAACCGATCATCGCTGCCGATAAATATTTTGAAAAGAAATCAGCGACAGGCCGCTTGATTTTTCTTGAGTAGAACATTGGTCAGGGCCATGCGACTTTGCTTCGGCGTGTTTGCGTATCCTCAGGGATAATCGAGGTAGAGAAGGTACCTTAGAATCCCCCCTTTTTTTTGTCATCTTGTACAATTTGGCAGCTCAAGGTACGTTTGAATCAATTGTTGACTTTGCAAGCCCAGAAAATCCTTAATAGATCATCACGGGATCATGAACTTATGTTTGATTGATTGCAGTGGATATTTGTCCGTTGCCAGTCTTTATAATCCTTCCTTCACCCACTCATCTTTGGGCACTTTTGAAGTCCTTTCGCCACTTCTTAATCTCTAATTATTTTCAACTCTCCTCACACCACCTATCTTCAAAAACCATTTCTCGATTAAATATCTTCATTTAGAAAATGGCTCCAGCTGATTCTTCTCGACATGAAATGCCCAATACTCCCAATAGTAACTCACCTCAAGCTGGCCCTTCTCGGCAAAATCGCGCGCCTGATGAATCTACCCCCAGACCGATTTCCTCAGAGTCACAGTCTCTAGATAGCTGGTACACAGAGTCATCTTCCAGCGAACACAACTCTATATCTTCCCCTCCCAATAACCCTTCAGACAACCAATTCCCGAAGATAGAGCCGCAGGAGACTGCCCTAAGATACCATCCTATCTGTAGGTTATTTCAAAAGCGGTCATATCCGATGCTTTAAAGCGGCGATCATAGACTTACTCAGGTTTGACTTATATTAACCAAAAGTTCCTCGAGGAAGTGTCATTAATGTCGAGGTGCCGGAGGTAGTTCGCTCAGAGACACAGCGATATTACTTTCAACCGTCAAGCTGTCAGGTTGCCGACCCGCGATCTCGGGTACCCATCTATTTCCGATGGGGTGCGTTCATGTCTCAATCATCTGTAATCATCTGCTTGATAATCTTCTGGTCGGGCTCTGCAAGTTTTGATATTTTTGTTTTACCTGCGAGACCCATGCAGACGGAGATTGGAGCCTGGAAAGATGGGCGAAATTCACGGGAGAAGTTTCTTCAGAGCCCGGAGCGGTGCCCGATGCAATCGTCGGACCTGATGCGATGGCACGACAGATACACGAGGAACGATACCAAGAGGAGTGTCGTCAGATTCGTCCACCAGGGCTGACTGGTACCGCTGCATGGGATAAGCAGATGAAGATCACGTTGGAGAGATTCTTTGCTCCCCTCGAAAGTAAGTGGACGCGTCTATGACCAGAGTTCCGAGGTGGACAACTGGTTGACTTCTTCTTCACCTGTCAATCCTTCAAGCTGAAGATGAAGATATCGAAGCTGAAGCTGAAGGTATTGCAGCTGAACCCCAAGTTGAAGGCCTTGAAGCTGAAGCAGGAGATATCGAAACTGAAGCCGAGGATAATCCGTAATATATCTTTCATCGCCATCGGTCTACTTTTGGGAAAATGATCGTCTTCCACCTTTCTTCTTGGGATCCACGTCGCTAAAATCACCTATCGTCTCAAGCTTTCTTTTGATAACGTCAACTTCCAGAAAAATGGGCTATATCATGCACCTTGCGGAATCGTACCTTGTTGGATCTGTATATATATATATGTAACGGATGCCATCTATTATTTCCTAAAATCCCTGTAATCTTGATCTTTCCCGGCGGATTCTTTTTTTTTTCAAACCTTGTTGTACAACATAAGGCAATCCTTCTCAAGTTTGAAAATTCTTGGGTTCTATTACTAACTGAACACAAGACTGTACTTTTTTTGACAGCTATTTCAACTGCATCAGCTTGAGGTTCTTTCTTTTAATCCTGCTCCATTCACAACTTCCATCAAATTTATGAATCACTCACAATGTAGATTTGAATCTCTGAGTGAACTTTCAGAATATAATCCTATGATAAAAATGCAAACAGGCAACACTGATTTAGCCTCCCAGCTAAAGGTTGGTGCTTTGGCCCAAATACCAACAGGAGAAACCTATATCCACTGGATAGCAATCAGCTCAAGATCAGTTCATTGCACATCAGTTAACCTGTTCACACAAGTTTTACAGCTGCCCATGATTCACAAAGGCAAACAATTTTTTCACAGACTTTCCAGAATATGTCCAAGCAAAGTTTTGAAATGAATATTTTCAAAGGCATCTCTCAAACTTAAATCCCTCTACAATTGTGTGTATTGGGTGACAAACCCCCAATTGACATGTAATGTTGGGATGTAAGTACTGATGGGCGATTTGATTTTGGATTTCCAAAAAAAAAAAAACATGATTGCTTGATGACAAGTGACATCCAAAATCACAAAATTCCCTTTGTACTCTGGTTTGGCACTTGTTATCAAGTCATCATGTTTTTTTTTTTTTCAATGGTGTGTTAGGCATCAAAAGTTGCTACTCAATACAACATCAATATCATCCCTGAAATAGGGGGAGATTAGAATAGCTAGGGTGGGTCATAGCATTACATACTAGATGTGAAGTATCTCTTTTTTTGGTTAATAATAAATTATAGATAAGTTAAGGGCACATTCCAATGGCTTGTCCAGAAGGAATTTCAACATATGTTGGATTCTGACCGGACCCATCTGTCACTTGTGATAGGGAAAACCTTGTGCTGCCTATTGTACCAATGCAAATCACCCAAACATTGGGAGATTTCAATAGCTGAAAGCACTGCCTCTTGTGGTACTCCTGATATAAACTTGGACCTGCAGCCCTACGTCTTTACAATTTGAATCACTTCCAAATTTGTGGCTTCATCTCCCCTTCTGAGCTTTGGGAACAGTCATCAACTCTGACATGGCCATCTGAGGAGATGAAAAACAGGCTTGTTTGAGCAGTGACACAGTTTGCCCATCTGCTAGTTTCCCCTGGCTTGGGATTGGTGGGCATGGCCCGCAACCTGATTGTCAAGGGGGATTTCCTTTTACTGAGCAGGTTCATAAAAAATTTGGCAAGAGGGATTCCTCTTTTCCAGACGCTTGCCAAGAAGGTTATTAACATGCTCAGCAATGATCTTGCCTTTTACCTAGCAGGTTATCAACCTTCTTGGCAAAAGACAATCTCCTCTTCTTGAGAAGGTTAATATCCTAATGAGTCTTGCCTTTTTCCAATCAGGTTTCATAAGTTGCTTGGCAAAAGGCAAGATTGTTGTGCAGATTGATACCTTGCTTCAAACCTTGGTGAAAGGTCTTGTTTTTTGCCAAGCAGGTTATTAAACTGCTTGGAGAATAGCAAGATCTCTTTCCAGTCTCACCCAGCAGGCTTTATTAACTCCCACTCCTGCTGCAGTCACAATTAGTTGGACAACTTCTGAATAACATTAAAGAAAATAAATGTGTGCAAATTAGCTTGATGACTCCCCAATCCAGCCAGAAAATTGAATCAAAAACTCCCAAGACCAGGATTATGGTCCCAGAGGGTTTTGGCAGTGGTTGTCCCATTCTCTGCTTGACATTCCCAAAACATTTGAGAGTTGTTGACTAATAAAAGGGATTTGTTTTAACCAACCCCCCAAAAACAAGAGCAATCTACTACAATTTTTAAGCCTAATATTGTAATTTTAAGGGTAACATAGGTGACACAAATACTAATTGAGAAAGCAACAAGATTTCAAGGACATAGTCTGAACACAGTGAGTTAACATGTAATGATCATTCAGTGCGGAAAGAGAGACAGAACTAGATTATATAGGTACACATTATAGGCTAAGTTGCGGTTGCATAAGTTAGAAGCATAGCCCATCAGAGAGATGCTACTATCCTATCTGAATATGTAACAGCCCACAATTGGCACTTTCCAAACATTGAATTGAGCAATGGATGTACAGTGGGTGGGAAATTCTTTTTGGTGTGGGGTTGAAACAAGTGACATCGACACTGTGAAAAAATCTCACAGAACTGCTGCCAGTTGAGATGCAGAAACTCTCTTGAAAGTTGGGTTGTTACTTGGATCTTACTCAACCATTATACAGCATGACTGAAGCTACTTTGGGAGTAACCTGCATGTCAACTGCCACCAGTTTGATGATGATTTTTTTTTTATTGTCATCCCAGGTGATCTTGGGATGCATACACCATGTGCTACCCACCAACCAACTCATCATGGCTAAATGTTCTTGATCAAAAATCCTTGCCCAAACAACATTTCACACAAAACCACCTCTGATAGCAATCAATATCAATTTAAATGCCAAATTGACACCAACATCCTTTGCATCCAAGGTTCATGTTGCAAAATCAACCATATCTGGAGCGGTCACTAAATTGTCAGTGGCTTGATGAATTAACAAATATCAGCGAAAAGAAAATCTTCCTTTTGACCCTTCTTTATATTATTCATTTTTTTTTTCTGCATCCCTCTCCACCCCCTTATATGTTTTTAAAAAATCTGATATGGTTACACAATCACTGAAACATACTTTCTTTTCTTTTCTTTTTTGCTTGATGAGTAATTCTTATAGGCTCTCTGTTTGGCAGGGATATATTGCCAATTCCTGTGACATCAGATGAGGTTTTGGTGGACTTAATGATCAGATGACACACAGGATGTGATGCCAAAAAGCATGTATGTCACTCAAGCTAGTTATATTGCTGCCAAATGGGGCCTCAAAAAAATGATCCCATCAGCCCTCTGGTGTGAGCAAAATGCTGGAAGCTTGAAGCTGCTTCCAAGGCTCAAAAACCACAAAATGAGGTGCCCACAGCACAACAGTGCTCCAATCCATCCACTAGGTGTACATTAACTCTTCATTGTATTAGTAAGCTGTTATTCCATTCTATTGTTGTTAGCCTTTACTCCCAACTCAAGAGTATTGATTTGGGTGCTTGATATGTACCTGCTGGTTGAGTGATCAATTACCCTGACAGGATCTCTTCCATGCCATCAAACTGCTACTCTATAGTTCCTCTCTCAATCTCAAAAAAAGTGGCCGTTTATATCTCTGGTGACTCAGAGGGCTCTTGGCCCGTTGGGCTCCCACTCGCTATGTGCTCGCGCGTGGCCCGTTTGACCAGGGTCTGGCCCGCCCAGCTCCCTGCCACAGCTGAACCCCCCTCAACAAGAAAGAAACCTCTTCGCTGCCACACACAGATCGCCATGGCCCAGTCCGTCGTCGAGGAACAACAAGAAGAATCTCTTCACCACAACCTGCGCAACATTCTCGCTAAACTCAACATCAACACCGTCGAGGAGTTCTTTGGGCTTGATAAGAAACGTAAGTCAAGCCAAGCCACTCACTCACTCACTCACTCAAACCCATCAAATCAATTACAATCTAAGACTATGTATGTACCCTTTTGCAGAAATCAGGAGATGGCTCTCTTTGATTGCAGTAGAAATCGTACAATCTACACCCACATCGTCCTCTGATTTCATGCTTTGGTATGCGACATTGATGGCCGTAATGGTCTTCCTTATCGATAAGGGTTGCTCTGAAACTTTCCGAGCCTCTTGTCGCCCTCATCCTTTCCAACCAGGCCAAATCCAACCAAGAAATTCGTGATTTCGTCCAAGAGGAATTCGAGGACCACCCACAGCTATGACGCACCATGCACACCGACCACGGCAAGCCAACGCACATCCCAGCTCCTCAATCCTTCCGATCACTCTGGCCGCCTGATTCCTACGCTCAAACCGGTACTCAAGCAATCAATGTGTACATCAATGTTCCTGGTTTGGTCGACCGTTTCATCCAGAAACTGCCCACCGACCTCGTCTCGCTCCTCCAACCCCACGAAAGCTTCATTGATCAAACCTTCGAACATGGGATCCAGGACGCGTCGTCGGAGCGCTCCGTGTTGAACTGGATTACACCGCTCGTCGAACGGTGCTCTGGCTGGCTGGAGAACAGAGGATCAGTCGGTCAGCATCCTCGTACTTGGCGGAGCTATCCTAACAAGTTCTTGAAGGACACTGATGGGACGCGCCAGTTGAATTGTGCGATCGTCTCCCGCTCTTCGGACGACAGCACTCACACTCGAGAGATCCTCGTGCCTGCTGAGCTCAAGAAGACCAGAGCAGAGGCCCGAGATGCGGATCTTCTCCTGGCCAAACAGGCCTCCAAGATCTTCAAATCTCAGCCCACTCGAATCTATGTCGTTGGACTGACACTGTGTGGAAGCTCGATGCGGCTCTGGCAGTTTTTGATAGGGCTGGTGCCATTGGCTCTGAGCTCTTCGACATCATAGAGCCCAAACAAAACTTTCCCAAGTTCCTCGCTCTCATTTCATTATTTTTGAGCGCCAACAAGCACGTCCTTGGCTTTGATTCAACCTTCATTGATAGTGAGGCACGTGTAGGTACTAAGATTAGAAGAGTGCAAATGATGCAAATCAGCACCACCGAGTCCGGTCCTCAAGACTTCATCATCGATCCCAAGATCTTCCGCTCCAGCGGAATCTGGGGACGTGGGACAACCTGCTGGCAAGCGCATCTGTCTGGAGACAAGCAATATACCAAATTTCTCATAAATAGATTCATGGCAACCCTCAGACGGGAAAGTAGAAGGAGATATGCTTTGCCATGTGGCGGAAACAAACTTGCCTAGATATCACCATCATGAAGACGTACAGGTTGCCGGGCGGATAGTCGACCTTGAATCTTACGTTCGGGGGGGGCATCGATTTCCGAAGCGGGGAGAAGATCCAAATGACAGATGAGTGTTCCGATTCAGATGAAGAGCCCAAGGAGGAGTTTTTTTTTTTTTTTTTTTTTTTTTTTTTTTAAGTGCTATTGATTTCACATACCGCATTATGGTTTATATCATCTGTATGTACAAAAAAACCCCGTATACAAAAATGGGCAAAAAATTATCTGTATTTTATAAGTGCCTAGTGTTTTGATGACTACAGTGTGATTAATCCAGCGGGTAGAAGAAAAGAAGAGAGAAAGAAAATCAAATTTGCAACATAAAGAAATCACGGTTTCCATCGCCTCCTCTTGCGGCTTTGGATTTCTTGTTTCATTAGTGGACAAGTATCAGACCATGGGGAGTGAGAGAATTTTTCATCTAAAGTATTAACTGCTTTCTTTGATACAAGTTTGTGAGCAACCGGGTCCACAGACGGTTGATCCCCGAAGACGTAGGCCAACCCATATGGGAAGTGGATGGTCCGGCGCAGCTGTTGGAGGCTTACGAGGGCTGTATGACAAGGGACATCAGGCCCTGTTGAAGGCGGGCTCAACCAGACCGCCGATCCGGCTCGAAGATCGTTCCTGATCGACCTCGATGTGGCGGATGAGTATCCCATAGTCAATCGAGAAGCCCGCCATGCACGGATCCGGCACCAAGGATGTTTATGTCGGCCAGTTTGCTGACCAAATCCAACCCGGGCGAGGTTGTGGATGATCTGGAATCGTTCTTTTGGGTGTTGGTCTGGGTCTGCACCGGCTATCCTTCCTATAATCACCGCAAAGAAAGCTCTCATCAACACTGGGATTCGTGTCAGCCGACCAACCTAGGAGCTCTCAAGCTTGGTCTCCTCTCTCGGCCGGACTAGATCACCCAAGAGTTCACGCCCAGGTACGCCAAATCCGAGCCTCTCATCCGCTGTGTCCACAACTTCGCCGCCCGCCCTCCTCTCCCAGCCCACCGTCAGAACAAAGCCGGCTGAGGAACTCTATGGCGCTATATAAGAGGTTTTTCCAACGGGCTCAAAATCGAAAAGTCGATCGAGAGATCAGCGCGCCCAACTCTTTGTCCTCTTTGTCTCCGTCTTCATGCCCCCACCGCTATCGTTTCTAGGACTCTACTTCCTCGTTTTCTTCTGATATGTACCAATCATCGTTCCCCGCCAATCCCCTGTGTATCCAATTCTTCATTCCCTGTGAGAGATCTTTCCTCTTCTCCGATCCACCTTACATAAATCGTTGGAATACCCGGTGATCATCTTTTTTTTTTCCTTGCGCTTTCATTGTCGCGGTCTTGAACGAACTCTCTTTTCTCCCTACTGTGGACATCTCGTCTGATTTGTATTGTCGTCTTTTCTCGCTTTGATGATCATCCCTTTCTCTTTCTTTCTCTTTACTGTACCCTTTTCTGCATCTTTTTCTCCTGTCAGATACATATTAAATCTGCGTGGAGACACACATCGGAAATAAATAAAATAAAATAAAAAAGCTCGCTGGAAAATTATTCTTCGTCCAATCCTTATAGAAATTATTCACGAAACTCAGACCAGACAGTAACAAAAACACACACACACACACTTTCAGAGAGAAAAACTATCATGGATTTCGTTCATAAATTCCTGAGAAGAAAAAAAAAAGCTGGGATTTGAAAGGTGTTTTGTAAGAAGGAACAAAAGCTGAGAGACATTTTTCAACTGCGTGGAAGCAAGTGATCCAGCAGAACAAACATGACAGTAATCGACATGAGGGTTATAAAAGCATTAGCAGCCGCAGTAAGATAGGGCGAGACGGGGCAGACCCAAGTGTACAAGAACCGATCGCAAAGCAAGATTCTTGGACGATCCTCAAGATGGACCGTATGAGGACGATTTAAGACAGCTTCTTCTTCTTCTTCTTCTTGGGCCCTCGAACTGAGCGGAGGAAGTCCATGGGGCCGTTCTTCTGGGGCCTTTGCCGGCACGCCGTTCCGATAGAGAGCCGCGCGACAGACCGGACAGGTGTGTGTACTGATCTTCTTCCAATGCTTTTCGATCCATAACCAAGACTCCATACAATGTTTGTCGAAACTATGGCCGCAATCCCAGGTGATCATCGGCTTGGAGAGCGGGTCGAGCTTGGACAAGCATATCGCACATTCTGGGGCGTCGATGGGCTTGAATCGACTGCTTTCTCCTGATCCATCTTGCCCTTCTTTGGCCGCCATTCGAGCTGGTCCTCCTCCCAGGCTGTTTTCCGAAGAGCCGCCGGCGCGGTCGGTGTTTATATCCCATGTCTTCGTATCTGTACTCCACCGTTCTTCTTCTTCGTCGTCGTCGATTCGAAGAACCACGTCGGGCGTCCGAGACTACAATATATAATATCCCGACAGAAGACCCACCGGAGATTTCAACTTCCTAACAAACCAAAAAAAAAAAAAAAAAAAAAAACTCTGGAGATAAGGGAACTAGGGCAGTCGAGACTCACCGGCTCGGTCGGATGGGGCGTCAAAGTGGCAAACCGACCAGCCGGTCCTTGACCGCCCTCGTTAATTCCAGCCTCGTGATGAGGGCCGAGAGGCCGATCCACAAAGCACGGATTGGAGTGCCATCGGCCGCCGACGGCCTCGACATCCTGCTCGGCAACAAACCGGGCCAGTTCTTGCTCGCCTCCGGCGCCGAGACTGGGCCCAACCAACTACTGATCACCACAACCCACACGGGGCCTATCAGTTCTCCATCGATCATCCTTGCTTCATCTTGCCCCCAGATCAGGGAAGTTTCTGGTCCGCTTAACTATTAATAGGATCATCCACGATCTGTCCATCGCTCGGAACGAATGTGCTTCTGGAAGACAAGGGCTGGAAGAAACAAGTCAAAGCATACGCGATCGATGGGTCAGCACTGTCCTCTGCTGGCAATCCCCATCCTCTCCAAGCGACCTGCTCGTTCAAATCCTCAACGCGTCCCATCATCGGTTCCCACATTCCGCCACCCATCTGCACAATCACTTGTCTGATCGAGAACAAGCAGAAGAATTCTCGAACGAGTTTCCAGAAGGATTCAAGACGGAGTCGAATAACTTGATCAGCAGCACGTAAATTAGTTTGACTACGTACAAATTAGGGGAAAAAAAACTAATTGAACGTACATAGGATACATGGAGCGGCACATGAAGCGCCTGATGATTTTCCCGGGATGAAAAAGAAGAAAAAAAAAACGATCATCCGGACCGGGGGTCTCACCGAAGCCGACAGAAGGGCGATGTCACGACGCACGTCGCATACATAGACATCCCTTTTTGCCGCGGAAAGCTGGGGATATTAATCTTGATCCTTCATCACAAGCTTTGCAGACGAGTCCCTTGCAGACGACGTTTAAGCTCATGAAGACAGTTATGTTCGACGGGTTTGGCTTGCTTCCCGCTTCAACAACCATCAGAGAGTCGAGCTCCACAATCGTCTGGCGCGGGGGTTCTTAGGGTTACTTAGAGAGTGTGTGGATCGCTCTCACTTGCAAGTTGGATGCTGGACGGTGAGCACTCAAATCGTCTCATCTATAAGCCCCATGTTGAGCAGAAAAAAAAACCCCCCGTGGGGGTCGAGGATCCATTGGCTTCTTCGATTGGCTACTAAAAATTCTAGAAGCCAGTGGACATGATCTTTCGATAACCTCCTACATAATTGCGGCTTTCTCTCTCTCATGAGTTTGTGTAGGCGAGCTAGGCCCAAAACTACGAGTTCTATATGTATCCTTGGGCGATTTGATGAGGGGAGGCCATGCGAAAACCGAGGGCTCGTTCTGAAGTTCTCTCTGAAAAGAGGGAAATATCTGCTCCACTCATCTCAGTTCGTGATCCATCTCACCGACATGATTCCAGGAAACTAGCACCACATCCAGAAATGCAGAGCGAGACAAGCCGGCTGAGATATGTGGATGGAAAGCCGGCACAGGACGTTGCGCGTGGGGTGATCATGATGAGTACGACCGTGAATCCAGACATCTGGTTGATCGCATTCGCAAGAGTTGATCGGCAACAGACCATTCTAACCAGTCATCAAAAAAAAAAGGACCACTACATACATAGAAGGCTTTTTTTGTTTCCTTTGGCCGACGTTGTATGTGCGGGATGAAGCGACGGAAGAGTGAAGAAGACGATACAAACGAGTGAAACTGAGTGTTCGACCGAAGTGGGCGACGATCAAACTTACCGTGGGGGATTGCTCCTGAGACAAAGGCCCTGATTATAAACGGTTTTTTGAAATATATTTGAAAGTTTTCGAAAAGTATTCCAACTTTGTTTTTTTTTCTTTTTCATTTCTTTTTTCTTTCAAAAACCAACTCAAAAAGTTTCAAACCAGCTCCGGAGGTGGTTTGAGATCTCAAAAACCTCATTTTTGAAAACAATACAGAAGTTGGGTGGGTATTGGGCTGTATGGTATCAAGTCATACAGATCAGCCAATTGTAACACTCACTCCACATTGGACACCTTGGACTGTCATCATCTGCCAACATTTTCACACCCATTCGGCATCCGACGAAGACGTACGGAATATGGAATCTCAAGAGCAATCGACCGGTAACCTCCTCAGCGAGGATGGACCACTCCAGCACTCATATCTCACTAACTCGAGCTTCTGCTGGGACAGCCAGACAAACGGGATGGGTCACCATGTGCAAGAAGGCCATGGCCAATAGATGAGATTGTTGGCCAATAGGCGACTCTAGAATCATTGTCCAATTCAGAGGAAACAAACTGCTGGATCAGAAGCGATCCTTATTGAAAGTGACCGTTTTGGAGCATCTGTGTGGTGAAGTCTGCCTTGTCCAGACCCACCCCTGGGGCTGAAAAATCACCCAAGGAACAGTTCACACTGTTCCTCACTCCTTGTAATTGCACGCAGACCTAATACAGACCCCCTGGGCCAAGCAGGTTTATAAGTGTAGAAATTATTCGAATAGGTTTTGAAAAGTTTTTGAACTTCTTTTTGATTTCTTTTTGATTTCTTTTTGGTTTTCAAATACTTTTCAAATAAAAAAAGCCGAAATCCAAAAACTTGGTTTATAATCAGGGCCAAAGAGATCAACCCAGCTGCAGCCTGCAGTTGTGTCGAGCAATAAACTAACGAAGAGGGGGAGGGACGCGAACACCGTCTTGTGGAGAATGAAGGGATACATAATCACTCTTGGCTGGATCTCAAAACTGCTCGATCAGGTGGTTCTAATTTTCATGTATTTATGTATTTTTTTGTTTCTTTGCAAGCCCTTGGAGTTTCTGTTGTCTACTTGGTATCAAAGGACATCTGATCTCTCCCTCTCTCTCAAATCCAAGTACATATTTGATGAATTGATAAATTCTTAAAACAAAGGTTTATATCGATAGACACAAAAGCACACATATGTCACATATATATGGAGTATCACATCTATGTATTTTCTTAGCACAAGTATCTAAAAAAAGAAACTACATCTAAAATTATATGTATATATATATATATTAACTATAAGTGCTTATACTTGATTGATTGATTGATTCAAGAAAGAAAGAAAGAAAGGAAAAAAAAAAAAAAACTCATACCAAGAAGAAGTGGAGAAGAAGAGGAGGAGTTACGGGTCGACATTAGAAGATAAGACGCGATTCCTGAACCGATTGATGAGTGATTTTTTGACCAAGTTTTCGGACAGAGGAGGAGGATGATTAACCGGATCAGCCGAAGGCAGCGAACGCTCATTAGTTTCTACGCCAGTGGCAGTATCTTTATCAGTAGTTCGTGTGGCTGTTGTTGTTGTTGTATGGGTGGTGGTGGGGGTGGCTGTTGCTGTTTCTGAAGTGACGGTAGGAGTAGGGTTAGAGATCGAGTTGTCGATCTCGATCTTAGTCGAAGCAAGCTGCAAGATATCTTCCTACAAGACCCAAATAAAAAAAAACTCAGCCAACATTAATAATGATGAAAAAAACACAGATCACAAAACGAGTGTTTTGGAGAGAGAAAGCGGAAAGGATAAGAACGAACCTCGATAGTCCCCTTAGAGATCAACTTGAACACCTTGACGTCCCGAGTTTGGCCGAGCCTATAAGCACGGTCTTCGGCTTGTCGATCGTTATGAGGGTTGAAGTCCTGGTCGAAAAGGATCACCGTGTCTGCAGCCATCAAGTTCAAGCCCAACCCACCGGCCCTAGTCGATAACACTTTAACAGCAAAGAAGTAATCATCAACAAAAAAACAAAAGGGGGGAAAGAGAGAGAAAGGGAGACTTACAGAATACAGTGATTGATGGATCATTGGTGAATTGGTCGACTAATGATTGTCGTTCTGTCACATTAGTTTGGCCCGTAAGCACCAAGAACTTCACATCCAGAAGCTTAAGGACGACTTTCAAGATATCCAGCATCTGAGTGAATTGGCTAAAGATAAGGAACCGACTAGGAGAATCCTGCTTAACTATCTTAGACTTATCAATCTCTTTAGAAGAAGAAGAAGGGTCGGCATGAAGATTATTATTGGAAGCAAGGATGAGTTGCAGAGTTTTGACTTTGCCCGAGTTAAAGAATTCATCTCTAGACAGTTGGAAGCGACGCAGAGATTTATATTGAGCACAAAAGCTATCGATCTCGAAGTCTGACATCACCTCGAGATCTTCGATGATCAGCTCGACTGAACAGTCGAAGAACTCCACCTCATTCAGACATCCTTGAGCGATCTTCCTCAGCATCGGTCCATCGAATTGACGTCGGAAGAGTAAAGGATGGTTAGATACTTTGCGTAGTTCCATCAACACGTTGGTGGTCGAATTGGCGATCGTCTTCTTCGTCGGACTCTTCTTTCCTGCTGTGGCTCCTAACAAACCATTCTTCTTGAAACTCTCAACTTCTTCTTCTTCTTCAAGCTCTTCATCATCTTCAACACCCGCAGAATTCATCAGATATTTTTTACTTTTCTTGATCAATTGATTATAGGCCTCAGATTGATTAGGTTCGAGGTCGCAGTAGATGACCTTCTCGATCTTCTTCGGTAACTCCTTGAGCACCTGAGTTTTCTTCCTCCGGAGCACGAACGGGCTCATCATTTTCTTGGCCCTGGTGATTCGGGTCTGAGCAAGGAGATTCACCTGGGCCTCAGAGGGGACTTTGAAGATCATCCGGAGGTCTTCCTGAGCCTGGCCACCGAAGATCTTGGGGAGGATAAAGCTGAGAAGGGAGACGAGTTCCTGGAGGTTATTCTGGAGAGGCGTGCCGGTGAGCAAGAGACGCCAACGGACGTGCATGCGCATCAAGTCCTTGTACCGTTTCGACTGGGAGTTCTTGAGCTGGTGGCCCTCGTCGTAGACGCAGGCGTCGAAGCGCATCCGGTCGAGAAATTTACGGTCCTCGACGGTCCCAGTGGCGATGTTGTAGGTGGTGATCACCACGTCAAGCCCAGGCATCGCCTTCAGCTCGTAGCGCAGCTCCATGCGCTCCATTTGGGAGCCATAGTACTCCCGGACGACCAGGTTCGAGCTGAAGTTCCCAAACTCACGCTTCCAATTCTCCAGTGTTGATGAGGGCACAACCACAAGATGTGGCCCCGGCTGACCGGCCAGCTTCAGTTGAGATAGGAAACACACCACCTGCGCCGTCTTCCCCAGACCCATCTCATCTGCTAAGATGCATGAGAGTCCCTTCGAATAGAGCAGGTTCATCCAGTTGATCCCCAACATCTGGTACGATTTCAGGGTGATCTTCTTGGGCACCGTCGGAGGCTGTGTGTAGATGTAATCCGCAAACGCTTTCCTCTCTTCCTCCGTCGTCAGCCCTTGGGCATCCGTCAAATGATTCACTAGATCTGTCGCTCCTTCTTCCTCCTTTTTCTTCGAGCCTTCACCACCCGTCGTCTCACTTGCTAATTGTACCCCTCGGGCCCAGATATTCATGATCGATGATAAATCTTGTCCATGCTTTTCACACTTACTCAGCACTCGATCCACCTCAAAGTAGCCCTTTTTTGTCATGTAAAAACAACGTAGCTCAACATTTGGTGGGTATGAAGAAAACACAGATGGGAGATGGGACTTACTTTCATCATGTCTTGGTAGTTCTTCAAGATCCCTGCATTGACGCCCTTCTTCTTTCGGAGTTTGGATTTCATATCCTCAGCGTCTTTGAACGGTCGACAGCCCACAATCATCTTGGCCTGTTCCAAAGTGCAAGCTTTTTTTTGATGTTGATTGAAAAATGATGTGTTAAGATATTATAAAAGAGAGAGTATGCGGTTGTGGTAGCTCTACGTACCCGTGACAGCTGGTAAATCTACGACGTCACACGAGTTGAAGAACCGAATCGCGTCGTCCTCGGAGACTCTCTGATGGTGATTTTCGTCGTCATCGTCCTCATCAGAGCCGCGTTTCCATTCGTCCTGTTCCGCGTCGAGGTTCTCATCTGCCTCTTGTTCCTCGTCGGAGGCAATCCGTCGTCTCAACTTCTTGGTCGTCGGACGGGTCTGGGGAGCAGAGATGATCGCGATGCTACAATCAGGGTCCGAGTCAGACCCGCTGGTCGAGCTTGAAGCTAGACGGGGCCTTTTGTTGGCCAGCTTCTTGTTGCCTTTACTAGGGGCTAGGATGGTGACTGGTTCATCTGAATCATCTGAATCGATCCTCCTCCTCGTCCGCCTGTCTTTGCTCGTCGTCGGCTGTGGCTGTTCTTGTTCTTCCTCCTCTGAGCTGTCGGGCGCGATCCGACGCGTCTTCTTCTTGCCCTTGTCCTTTGAAAGCGCTTGAGACTTGAGATAGACTTGAGGGGATACTGTGAAGGCGAGTGGGTCGTTGACCAATGAAGAGCCTTGTGATGATGATGGCGATGAGGAGGAGGATCGTGATGGTAATGGTGGTGGTGGTGATGATGATGATGGGACGAGGATTGCCTTTGATTTTTGTTGGCGAGGTTGGGCTGATGATGAGCTTGAGTTTGAGTTTGGTTTCTGATGATGAGTGCTGATTGGTTCTAGTGCTGATAATTCATCCTGGTCTAATACTTCAATGCTACCCTCGGCATCTGAGTCTTCAGATTCTTGGATGGTTTTCTTATTGTT